TCACCAGCCTACAAACTCCACACGCACACGCGCACACACACACACGCACACACACACGCACACACGCATACACACACACACTCTAACTGCTTCGACAGACTGACATACCGAGCACAAACACAGGCTTGTTTTCTTTGCACGAGGGTGACAGTCACGTGTTTTTTTTAAATATTATTTGTCTCTTTGACCCAATTCTGAAACACATTCCAGCATGGGACCCTGCAAATAAAAGCCATATGGAGGACGTTCAGGAGCAGAGCGCAGATGGATGGACATGCCGAGAGGGACGTACGTGCATCATTTCCACACAGAGAGCCATAAAACCCGTGCTGCCTTCCTCCCTCCTCTTCCTCATCTATGGCAGTAATGAGCAAAAAACTCCTTTGCAGACAAAATACGTGTACGCCAATGCTTAAGCGAGGTTGCGCCTTACTCGCAAATTATTACAGTCTGAGTCAAGAAAAGCCACGTCCTCTATCCCAACATACAAACCATGAACACTAACACAAACACAAACACACACACACACGCCGCCTCCAAGTCACGTCCTGTTGGCCTCGTCGTTACATAAACACCGCAGTGTTTGCTTGCTCACACGTCGAAGGCTTTAATATGCTTAGCGTGCAGCGGATTCCTGCCTGGCCGCAGTTTGTCCAGTACAGTAGAAGGCCTGTGAGGATGGCGAGAAATTTAGGGAAGGAAAACGCTCAACGCACCCCTCCTTCCCTTCATTTCCTTTCTTTCCCTGTCATCTTGATGCGGGGCATGCCAAACCCCCCCCCGGCTCCCCCTCCAAAACATTTCCTCCTTTAAAAAAAGTGATTATGTAACAAGCCACATTGCTCTGTAATTTGCAGCTGGGGAAGACGGGAAAGACGAATAGGAGGTGGAGTACGAGGCTGTCTGATAAGACAAAATAGGGTCGTCTTCAATAGAGGCTAAGGAGAAACTAGGTGTGGGGTGTTCAAGGACATAGTTGCTGATCTATGGCAGTCAACCTAGATCTGAAATATGCTTGAAAAAGAAAAAACTAGAGACTTGGTGGACTAAAACCATCCATCACACTGAGCTCAAAGACATCCAGAGCAATGGTACTAATGGACTACTAATGACACACACAAACAGTAGTACAGTCAAGTGTGGGTACAGCTGAAGACAGAAAGATCAACAGGTGTGTAAAGACACACTGTAGTCTGTATTCATCATGTTGAATTACAATCGAGAGAGGGCTCTCTGGTTGGTTGATTGTCGTTTAAGGTCAGTCTGGAGTGTCGGGAATAAATAAATAAAGAATACCTTTCTAAAGATGTCTGAAATGTAATTTAAGACTCGTCATTCAAACTATGTATAAAAAAACTAGAAGACAAAAGTGCCCTGAGTAAACATGAACTGTTGAAGTTATAACAGTGATATTTTTGAGATGGCAGTTCAACATGGCGGACTCCATGGAAGGAGACCCAGCAGCGTCTGTAGATAGAAACGGCTCATTCTAAAGTAGAAAACATAATGATTCCTATATTCAGCTCATTATTTATAATGAAAACAAACCTATGAATATTATATTCCTCCCTGCCAGGGTAAATGCTACACACGGGACCTTTAGAGATTCAGTAAGTCAAACAGATTTTTTTGCATAACAGCTAGAGGACAAGTTATCTGATCCATACTGATTATGTTGCACTTTTGTTGACATTGAACATCCTTGTAAACAAACTGGTCTCACATTGTGGCATTTAGTTTGGTCTGATGTGCTTTGAATGTGAAATTATTTGAGTGGGAACCTTTCTCAAAGCTAAAATAAGTATTGGATTCTTGAATACTCACATTCTCATTGGTAAACCATTACTTAATTTAATTCTATTATGATTCATCACTCATTCACTGCATCAAAACAATTATGTGCATTCCTAGTAAGAATGGAGCAAACACGTACTCACGTCTACAGAGAGACAGATGGACAAAGACTCTGCAGTAGAGAGCCTGACAGAGCAGAGACAGAGGGGGAGGAGAGGCGACATGTTGGGTGGTGACTCGACTGAAGCAGAAGGAACTGTTCCACCCTGCTGCCATTGAATGTTCACTTCCTGTTTGTATTGACTGGGCCCACGCTGCTCTAGGCCATTTACAATGGTGGCAGCAATGGAGGTCAACTAGCTGAGGAAATGGCTGCCATTGTAGCCTACAAGTTTTTCACAGTTTCTTCTATTCTCTCTGACAGATGTTTGAAATGCAGTCGGTATCCAAAATGAACTTCCCTGTTCAGAGACTGAGGTTTCAGAGGTAAAAACAGCACATTCAGATTCTATTCAGATCCTTTACTTAAAACGTACTACCAGGAGTTTTTAACTAGTTATGAAACTATTTAAAACTGATGCCTCTAAATGAACTACATAAACAAAGACCATCAGTGAGAAGATTGGCTATTTCTTTAGTTATATATAGTCTAGTTAGTCTATAGTTATTCTTAATGTCTGCCGCTGGGTCGGATCCAGTCCAATTCCCCTTAAAAAAATCAATGAAACGAGGAGATAGAAACACTACTACTTTTGTCCACTGGGGGTGCCCGAATCAACACAAGATGACAAGATAGCAGCTCAAAAATTCATTACATTACAAGTAAAAAAAAAAAGTAAATGTACAGAAGTATTATCAGTTAAATGTACTCTTAATAAGTCCCTTCAGAGTTGCTATAAATCTGAGGAGTTGTGAGATTAATGGGAGAGGAAAGAAGTGAAAACAAAAACAAAGTTCTGCTATGTAAAACTGAATTCATTTTTTGGAATCTGAATCAGAGTCAGGTTTATTGCCAAAGAAGCTTTCCCTTGCTTTGTTGTGAAGTATTGGATAATTTGACCTCATTTGGCCTCTGAGTTATTTAAATGAAACCATCTAAGAAATTTGGAAGAGAAATGTCTCTTTGGGGGAACTGACAACAACTCAGACATCTGAAATGTGACAAGAGGGCCCAACCACTGGTTTCATCTGTAACAATGCATTGTTTTAATTTTATACGCAAATTTTATGTTTCTTATGAAAAATTTGAAGCTGAAAAGTAACAAGCAATTATCGCTAAATTTAGTAAATGTACAATATTTGCCTCTAAAATGTAGTGTCGAAGAAGTATAAAGTAACATCAAATGGAAATACTCAAGAACAGAGGTTGAGAAAATGTTCTTGCTCTATCTTGGACTAACACAGACTATAATGTGGCCAGAACAGTTTAATTTCCGTCTTTAGTTATTCAAGGTTTCAAAACGAACTTCCTGGTTCATATCTTCCAACAGTACATTGTAGCTACAAACCCACACAGACGCAACCCTTGCGTCGTTATTGCTATTGTTGGATTGAAAGTGATGAACATGATGATGCATTTCTCTCACTTTATCTAGAACTTTGTAACAGGTTACGATGAACTGTATAAACATAACAGCATAAAATCTGATTTTTGGGACATGCAACAAAACCATTTAAGCAATTTAACTTGCAGACTTTACCTTTAAAATGTAAGCTAAATATGGGAGATGACTAAAAATGCTTCTAAAGGTTTGGAGATATAATGTTGTGGTTTGCTCTTGAGGTCAACTCTCCATCAACTCAAGGGAAGTGAAGTGACCCCTGATTAACAGCATCCACATGACGCCCAACTGAGTGATTTCTGAGGTTGAAGGGGAGCGGACAGGAGGCCCTCACTTCCCTCCTCGCTCTTCTCCAGAGACTTTTGATGGCACTCTCACATTCCTCAAACAGCACAGAGAGAGTAAACGCCAAACAGCCTAGCTGGGAAAACCAGATATTTCGACATTTCAACACTCAGGCCTGCGTTACGTAAGCGCAGCACTGTACACTTGGTAGGGAAGACTTGTATTGTGCTGCATCTAAGAGCGTATGGCACTCTTGACTGCTTTCATTAAAAATTCCTGACTGACGGAGGCAGAGAGGCTTCAAACCTCTGAGGGAAGTGGCTTTAACAGCAACAGAGCAACGGTACATCAACAATACGTCCTCTGTCTCTCTGCTTCTTGTGAATGTCTCACTCATTCACACAGTAGGGGTGTAAATATACACCATCGCACAATAAACTGCAAAATAAAAATGTGCCAAAAGCACAATGGCAATGAAAAATGGTAGAGCTGGTGCCAGTATAAAGTCAGTTCTGCAGAGTCCAACCTGTGGCCCTTTGCTGCGTGTCATTCCCTATATCCCCCTTCCTGTCTATCTTGAACTGTCCTATCAATTAAAAAAATCTAATCCTTTTTTTTCTAAATGTCCCTTATTTTTGTTTGTACGCAGGGGACAATTAAATGTCATCCATTAACACAGCCAGACAAGCTTACAGTAAAACCGTCCTCCGAAAATCTAAAATGATGTACAATAAAAACCTATATGAGGACATTCTCTTTCCTTTATATTTTCATTCATTCATGTTTTATTTTACCTTAACAGACTTGTTTGTTAAATAAAAGCAGCTTTACGTTTCAGGAATTTTCTTTCTGCATCACACAATCCAGTTAGAAATGTTAATATTTGCTGAAACTTTCCCTATATCCTGACATTAGTACATGAGACAGATAATCCGTCAAAAGAAATTGGGTTTGATAGCTCATATGGTAGAGCTGGAACCCCATGCACAAAGGCATTGCTGCAGCGGCCATGGGTTTGAGTCTGACCTGTGGTCCTTTGTTGCGTGTCATCCTCTCTCTCGTGCCCCTTTCCTGTCAACTCTACAGCTGTTGCTATCCATTAAAAAGGTCACAAAAGCCCCAAAAATATTGAAGAGAAAAAGAAAAGAAAGCAGGTTCCTGCGGCTCATCCTAGTGCTCCTAATAGGTTATGCAAGAATCCACCGTGTCTAATTAAAAATAACCATTCAGAGCCGAGAAAAACAGTTGATTGATCAGTCTCATTGAATCACATCATAAGCACACTAACAGACCCAGGACAGGACCATACACTCTTACAACAACAAACCCACACACTCTCTTTCTCTCTCTCTGGCTCACCTGGTCACAGCCGGCGTTGACCAGGTCTTGTAGCATCTGTCGGTTGACTTCCCCAGCGCCCGCAGGGTGTCCTGACCCGGAGGATGGGCCCGACTCATTGGCAAACGGCATGAGGGACTTGCGGATTTCCCGCAAGGCATTCTGGTAGTTGTTGAACTTCTGTGGGGGCCTGAGCTGCTGCTGTCGGCTGGCCGTGTCTTTCCCGCTCTTGCAATCGGCGCCTCTGCCGCCCTCTGTCCGGGAGCTGCCCCCGTGCAGGGCCTGACTCACCAGCTTGGCAGGCTGCTTCAGCCCCTCCTTGATCTCCTGAAGCCTCTGGCGTGTGTTGCCCACATACGGGGCAGCTGGGAAAGTCTTGGGCCTCATGGCCTCAGTGCCCAGGGCAGGCACCTACTCTAAAAGGGAAACGCACACACAAACTGGCACTCACTCCCCTACACCCTTCAAAAGATCCCTTTCAAGCTGGCTGACCTAAATAGATAAAGAGTCTCCAGGAGCACAGATCGGAGGCACAGATTTGGGAGTCCTCCTCTGTGTCCCTTATTTGTTTGTGTCTTTCTTTGTGTTTCTGATTCCTGCAGATGCTGGTGGGGTGGATGAAGGTGAAGTGTGGTACTACAGGCATTCCATGGTGTAGTTTTCAAGGCTCAGGTTCCAGCTTATTCCAGGAAATGCAGCCGGTCACGAGGGCACCGTAGAGCCAAACCATGATGCTGCCAATCTTCGCCTGTGGAGAAAGGGATGGAGTTAGAGCATGGAGACTGTTGTCATGCATTGTGTTCATGTTTTTCTTATTTTTTTTATTTTTTATTAAAAGCAAGCACTGGGCAGTTTACATCTTAGGCACAGAGATATTAACGGCTCATTAGAAAGGACACTGCAAAAGGTTAGAAAAACAAAGGGTCTTAGATATTCTGCTGTCGTAGAAGGTAAAGGTCTTGGAATTTCAAATATGTTGGCAATTCAAAGCCAAAATTACTCCTTTTAGCGCAAACCTGTTGATGCTATCGGTGCACTGCAGCAGGGTATAGAATAACAATACCAATAGAGATGTGCAGCATGGTTTAAATTTAAGTAAACATCACATATAGATATAGTAGATTCTGAGTGGGTGTTCGCTGCCTTCTTTCATGCCAGGTATTAAAGTTTAATGGGATACAGCAGGGACTGTATTGACAGAATAAATGGAAAGAAATTGCCTATAGGGTTTATACAGTTTTTCTGTGGCATCACAATAGAAGAGCATTATATGACCCGCTGTTATCAGCTTGATATCAGCGTAACCTTAAAAAATCTGGAAGTCAGATTCAGTGTTACTAATGCTCACGCACTACTGGTGCTTACCTAATGCATAATTCAGGAATGCTAGGGGTCATAAAATACCACCTGCCCCCCCCCCCGGATGCATAGCTGCAGTTGCAAAAGTCGTCCCCCTGTCACTGCATACTTGTGCTACGTGGTCATCGGTAAACACCCTTGTGAGGGCTCCAACGTAGGGTCAAAACAAGTCAGCAGCCCTCCCTGTGTCAGCCTCTCTGCCTGTGATGCTCCCCTGCGATCGGACATTGAACACATTTGACAGTCTTATCTGGAGGAGCATACTCCGCATTCTACCACTACAGCATTACTCCTCCAGGGCAGATGGGATGACGTGTGTGGAATAAATGCACATGTTTCTGTCAGGAGCCTCACGTGAGGACCCCGCAGCATGAAACACTTACATCTTGGGTGCCACAATGATAATAATCACATCATTTGCATCAGCCTGAGATACTGTGGCCCAAGCTGTATTTGGATGTAACTGTGAACCAAAGCTCATGGTGATACCAGTGATATCCTACTGAGGCTGCCGATAATCAGTATCTCAAAGTTTTTTTCAAATGGCAAATGCCTATTTTTCTGTTTATTTTGGTCACACAGTTCAAAGGCCACGGCAGCTATTTAAATCTGCAATATAAAATCTATTTGAACCTATACTCACTATATGTGAGATGCTCCTCATTCAGTTTATAGAGTATAACAAAATAGAGATTATGTACACTTCTAATTGAATGGTTTGAATGCAAGTGTCCCAACCAAACTCCACATTTTTGCATATTCTTTTTACCATTTATTGGTTGGCTTTTGTTCCACTTAGATGTTTTTCATTCTTCCTGTCCTTCTTTACATTCAGGGATCCACTTAAAGTTTCACTTTCCTAGCCAAACAATACTTCTCAACAGAAGACCCTGGAACTGGCAGGCACACAGGCTTCATATAGAGCCAGAGAAGATTTCCGTCTGGCTGGCAGGTGACGCCTGGTCTCCAGATACCTATCTGGTTTGTTACCGACAAGGAAAAACTGCCAGACACAATCACTTTCTGGCAGGTTCCAGCATGGCTGTGGTTTGGAAATCATGTCTGCTATTCCAGCCGTTTTGTCAAGCAATCAACCTTTAATTGATCTAGTTGTATTTCAAAGAGTCTGACTGACAGGTAGATTAGTAAAAGAAATTCACCACAATATCTGAGCCATAATTATTCTGACACATGAAAATAATTGATTAGCTAACGGCGTTTCCTCCACTAAATCTACTGTATATGTCTGGACACCTGTCGTGCTCTCTCTATAGTCAGTTTAACCCACGGCTGTGTGAGAGCGACTTATTATCTCGTTATCTCGATATGACAAAGATCTAACGTGAAGTGTAACTAACCGGTAGTCTACAGCTACAGCCAGTGGCTACTGAAGCCGTTCGTGGCAGCTCTTGTAGGTTGTTATATCGAGACAACGAGATAATAAGTCGTTATCACGCGATAACAGTGGATGGAAAAAAAAGGAAAATCCATGGCCGTTCTCGGCTTCCGTAGCTAGCCAACCAGAAACGAGTATTTTATGTGGCCATGGTACCAAGTGGGAGGAGTTATCTTGGGTGTCCAGGGATACGGTGCTAAAAGTCATTCAATGTTGCTAGCATCAACCTAAATCTAAAACCCAATTCAGACCAAAGTACTTGCGATGCCTCGGTCTGCAACGTTCTGAAGGCGTGTCACATTCACCACTGTGATTAGACAAGTGGTGTATTGTCTCTATAGCAACAACTCTCTCTGAACTTATAATTTAACTGCTTTTCAAGCTTTTTTCTTGGCTGGATATAATTTGTAGCATCTTAAAGGAATAAGGATAGTGATAGTGAGTTACTTGCTACAGTTGTATTGCTAGTAACGATGAAACTGCTAAAAAGCAAAAACATGAGAGGGTAAAGGATTTAGAGCTGTCAATGTGTGCTTCAACAGAATACCTAGAGTGGTTTATGGGAGTCAATTTTAAGATACAGCTTTACCATTTCAACCAGCTGTTTGTACCTGACATTACCTGCTGCTATGAGCTGATTGGCTGTTGAAACAGATGACATGCCTTGCATTCTCAAACCAGCCACTGGTGACTACACAAGCTGAGTCGCCGGCGGCGCCATCAGCCAGCTTGAGTCGAGCTGAGACAGGCCACCTCACAGCGCTGCAACTTTTCCCTGCAGCGTTCTGAAACTGCTTCGTCTGGTTGTGAATCTTCTGAGCTAACCAAATGAAACATACATCAGTTCACTTTTGTTTTTTGGGTCATTTTTGGATTAATTCTGCAACTATATAATTGCAACAAAGAAGAGTTTTACATTTGCAGCTCTGACTGGCTCATGTATATTGTATTATTCATGGAGTATAGACCTATGGTATGGTTACATTTTCCAGGAGACTGCTATGTGTCAGTGTTGAGGAAGAATGAGGATACCATTAAAATACTGGGAATTCACAGTGGGTAGTATTAATTTGATGAATTTAAGATGATTTTGCATAGATTTACCAAATGATTATGCTCTGTATACAGATTTTAAAAATGTTATCAATATTGTGATAATGATCCCAATCATATTGCCGAGCAGAACAGGGATCATGGCATTCCCACCAAAGTGGCCAAACATAAGAAGCTGTTGAACTACACCCCCATCCACCTCCTCTCTGGCAGCCTCCATCCCTTTGGGCCATTTCATCTTCTAAGAAAGACACAGCCTTCACTGTTTGGACAGATAAAACTTTGTATGGACAAAAACATGTTTTTTTTTTATATTGGTGGGTGGTGTGGTAGGGCGGGGCCAAGTGTGCCAAGCTGCATAAATGTTGCCCCATCTCTGGGATCTCTTGCCTCCATTCCTGTGATGCTTTTGGCGCCATGTCCGACCAATGAGCATTCCATTCCACAAGTAGCTACAAGTAAACTCATACCACCGTTGAATCATGGGACAGTCTATGCTGACCAAAATAAACCAAAAAAAAGAATTATGAATGATCTCTGTATGGAAATAAGCTTTAGGAGGGTGTTGGGGTAGTTCCTATGGTAAGAAATTACCAGAAATAAAATGTGCAAAGACCACAATTCATACACACAGCTACAAACACGCAGCATACTTGCACACTTAACCCTAACCTTCAACAATAGATACCAAAGCCTCAGCTCTAAGCCTAACCTCTGACTCTGAATAGGACCACATTCAACCTGAAATGTTCACACGCTACAAAAATCCATCAATAAATCCATCTCAATGTGTCATTAAGTCTGAGTCTTCAAATCTTGAATTTTGTAAAATAAGGTTTAAAACATCTGCAAGTGGATAAGATAATCCACCTGTTTTGATCATTTTCCTGAAACAGTTACACTTTTTAAATAAAGACAAAATGTGACACGAAATAAGCTGACTTGCACAGAAAACAAGAGGAATAATAATAATATCGGCTTCAACAGATTTTTCAGACATTTTTGGGCAAACAACAATTGTCAACAACTGAATGTCAAAGCCAATGTGAATGCCTTTACCCTGCAGTTCCTCTAATGGCCACTAGATACTGACTCCAAGAAAACTCCAACTGCATAGAGCAAAAGGAAAAATATCTTTGGAAATATACTAAAGACACTTCCCTTTTATAAATAGCTGAAAGAAGTGACATTTTTCCTAGTGTGTACACTGTTGGTGGATTTGTTATTTAGAGAATTTTAAAGCTGTGCCAAAATGTACTGTAGTCATGTTTGTTTGTTTTTGTCCAAGAACACTTTTAAGATCTTGGACAGCTCCAATATTCAACACAGAATATTTGGTAACGTTCACAAAACTCAGATCAAATCTGACTGCTGCCAGACTTTAACAGTGCTGCCCAGATAAAATCGACAGTTAGATAGTTTTGAGAGAATCTGGAACAAAACTACGTAAATGGCAACTGTTGAGCTGGCGTAGCCTACTATCCTACAGGTTTGATGGACAGCTGAGGTTAGGGAAGACAGACAAAGAGAACATTCGAGAGAGAGTGTATGTGTCTGTATATATGAGAGAGAGAGAGAGAGAGAGAGAGAGAGAGAGAGAGTGTGAGAGAGAGAGAGAGAGAGAGAGAGAGAGAGAGGCCTGTCAGTGAAAAATAGAAAGCTAAAAAGTGTAACTAAAGATTTTTTAAAATATCTTTCTGCGTGTGATGCACTGTTTTTCATTTATTTTACAGTGTGAGTATGTTTGTAAGTGCATTGACTTAAATCAAGAGTATGCTGAGCCCAGAAAAGAAGACAAATCCAACTTCAGCATTCAAAACATCCTATAAAATCTACAGACACTATATTCCTTCCTTCCAGAAACAGACACACATCAGATTCAACACAGACCACGGCACAGACAGCACAGGCATCAGAGCCAGAGTTAACTTGTAGTGGACACAGTGGCTGCTGTCTCATCCCACCTTTCACCAGGTTTCTTTGCTATTTTGCCACCCAGTTTGTTTGTTTATCTATTTCTCTGGTTCCCCTCTGAGCTACAGTAAAACACACAACACAGCCAAACATCTGCCAACATCTGTCTGTAGTCCGGCAGTGATTTCCCACTGCAGTCATCCCTGTGGTTCTCCCCTGACGGACGCATCAGCACAGCCTGACAGAATTACATCCAGCTGTGGCCCCGATACCTGACAACACAGTCGCACCACTGTAACCTAAGCATAATAGGCCCAATTGTTTCAAAAATGTGACCTTGCGCCTTAGGAAACACACTGGCAGGAATATAACGGTTCTAAATAAAACTTTGGTGTTACGGTTTGCGTAACTTAGGCCTGCTGCTCAGCGCTGAGGAGTCGGCTGGCACTGAAGGCACCATGCCCCTACTGCCAGGTGAGCTCTTAACAAGTCAAACAGCTGCACTGATAAGACCAGGGCAATTAAATGTAGTGAAAGTGTGTCAAAACGGAATGAGAGACAGTGTGTGTGTGTGTGTGTGTGTGTGTGTGTGTGTGTGTGTGTGTGTGTGTGTGTGTGGCTTGAGCGTAGTAGTAGCTCACCTGAATGAAACACATGGTTGCATCAGAGCCAAACTATGCAGGCCTTTAGGCTTGGACTACAGTATATATAGCAACATGATCTGTATACATCCTGGACTTTCCCCCCCCCCACTTTCCCCCCCTTTTACCCGAGCAGACCATTTCTCTGATTTGTGAAATGTTAAAACATATCCAATAATTCCAGGGTTAATTTGGAGACATTTACAGACCCCTTACAGCCTGTTTACCCAAATGTTACCACTGTATTATTATTATTATTATTATGATTATTATAATAGAGTTGTGCATGCAGTGTTGAGCTAGAAACTTCACTAAAACATGAGTGCAAGTTCTTGTGATACACACGCATCTTAGCAGCAATAATAAAGCTTTATAGCTCCTTCACCTCCTTTACCATAACTCAGTGGCCCCCAACATGGAGTTTGGGCCCCTTTAGAGGTCCCCAAGTTGAGGTCTGCTGCAAAACATGGACATTTCAGCATAAGTACAATTACTTAGCAACATGGTATGGTGTATAAACCAGACTATTCAGTTTGGAAGTTTACTCTCCACATCTGTGCTTTAATACCGTTACAAAATGGTGTCTGTGTAGTTTACAGTCTTTGCCTGGGGCCCCTGGACATGAAAACTTTCGGAAACCCCTGTTTTACCGTCCCGTGGCCTTCCCAACTGTGTCCCAGGCTGGGGCTGGGGGCTGGGGGCTGAGGGGAGCAGCACCGGAACATTCCTCTGCAGAAAGAACTGAGGTAGTCGTGTTATACCACAAAGAGGCTCAAAGCGAGAGGGGAAAAAACATTCCCTTTTCTATATCCCTCGCTTTAACACACCCGTGACGGAACTTTTCCTCAGCAACAAGTCGTGGAAATACTTTACACCACCACTCCCCTCCCCAGAAAAGTAAGTCTCAACTTACCATGTGATAGAAGTAGCAAGAATAACTCAGATTGGAGAGTAAATCCCGTCAAACGCCAACTTTAAAAGTCCATTTCTCGGTTGAGGAGCGCGTACAGAGAGCGGAGGGGCTCAGTGAAGACGGAGGAACTGGGTAAATATGATGAAATGAGCCTCCATTTTCTCCCCAGACTCCAGGCAGGATCAGAAATGCAGCACAAAGTTGGACACTCGCTGCATTGTTAACATTCCACAGGTCACGTGAGGGACCGACGCACGTCAGCACGGAGCCAAAGATCGTCTATTGGACACACCGCTCACTCAGTGGCTCTGTTTCAGCTGCGACCGACTATAGATTGTACTATCTTATCCGCCTCAACAGTCATGTTTCGTTGAATGTGATCAGTAAAAAGTCGGTTACTTCATTTTTTTTTTCTAGGAGGGAAATACCAAGCTTTAATGTCAAAGCTGGAATTCTTTGCAGCATGTTACCATTTAGCCTAGAAATGTGTGATTACTACTAACATTGTGAAAACTGAATGATTAGTAAAGTAAATACTAAAATGTTTTTTATTCCCAGGAATAAAAACTGTTGAATAAAATGAGAAAACGTCAGAATGACAAGGTGTTATCTAGAAAGACTGGAAGAAAAATGCAACATTGCACAGATCTTAATACAGCATCTCTGAATTTATTCTAATGGCATATTTTGTTTGTAGGGGAACTACATGCGAGCAGCCAGCATTACAGTCTACCATCGGGGACACCAAAGGCAGAAATGTTCGAAATATCCTTCACATAGTGGCTTTTAAAAAAAAGCAACAGAGTGAGAGATCTTGATTCTTCCTCCTCTGACCGCACATATTCTAGGCGGGGCTTCCTCCAAAGTATTTCTCTCCTTCATCTATCAAAAAATATCAGTACATTACTCAGTCACTCCTCTCTGGCCTTGGAAGGAATCTTTAACAATGAGCCAAAGGCCACGAATCCGCGGGAATGCAAATAAAGGCCTTTGTCTATTATCAATTATCACACACACACACACACAGACACACACACACACACACAGACACACAGTTCAGGAAGAATCAAAAGGCTTTTCCATTTCCCAAGCTTTAATTTTTCAGTCACAGAGGCAATAATGAGGAAAAATCATGGAAGCACGTGCATCCATAACAATAGGCAAATAGCATGGTAATAGAAGTGTCAGATAAACAGGAATAACTTAATATTGGGTTTACAACCAAAAAAACATGTGTTTCATTTATCTCAACCTATAAGCACTTTATTTATTTTAGAGTAGGAGTTAATGAAATGTGAACCATCAACCATTGGCGGCCTCGTGGAAGAATCAACAACTCTGCCTTATATAAAACTGCAGGAAACTCGTTCTTTCTGCTTCAACAACCATTCACTTCACAAAGGTTTTGCTTTTAAGCACTTTTCACACTGGTATTTGGCAGGTCTCACCTGGTAACAATCTTCTCTAGTATACAGGAAGTGATGCATTTTATGCGTTCACAAGCAACAAAAGAAAAAAGGAAAAACATAACTTAGCTGTAAGAAAAATCCAAGGAAAAATATGTCAAAGTACCCATCACAGTCTTGCTTCCACTTTTGAGTTATTAGTCTCAGTCTAGCAGCAACTCTCCTGTCTAACAGCGTTCTTCTTCACCCTTTAAGCAACAAGCAAGACTTCAGAAAAGAAAGCATGTCTGATCATCCACAAAACACATGCACCAGTGAAGTTAAAAACTCAATGTCTCATACATTTTCCCAATCAACTGTGCTGTTTTTGGTTCATTTGGAGTGAACAGAAGACCGACTGGGTGGCTGACATTGACAGTGATAACCACCATGGCTACCAAAAAAACACTAAAAATAAATTAAAACAAAAGACGCGGGTGGAGAGAAAATCCGACTGATGTACTTAAGAAACAAGAGCATACATTGCGAGCACATGGAAAGACACACAGCCGCCTGTGGAAGGGAACATCCAGCAGCCTGAGAACAAAAGGCACATTCCACTTTGGGCTTCCACAGCATGCCTACCTGAACCTAACACTGCTTGTGAAGCAACACCTTTTAAAGCCTGGCAATAGAACTGATCCAGGTTAGTCTCTGTTGTGTTAAAACAATGTTTCCAATTAATTCTAGGCCCTGAGCCAAAGCACTAGAACCTCTGTTGTAATAGGACAACTTAAATGTATAATTACTGGACATCATTTGGAATTTGTACACATTAAATGATAGAAAGGTGATTAATATAAAATGTCAAAATGAATGGGAACATTTCTTACTGTACACACACAACTTAAAATAATGATGAGGGATGCTTTGTTAACATTTGAGTGCTGACTGTTTTTGCACATTCAGCACACTAACCAAACCAGAAAAGGTTCTGAAGCAAGCTGTATGATGCAAAAATAAATATTATTTGTAGAAAACACAGGCCGAGTTCTACCAGATTTATAAACTAAGGCACCAGCAACGGAGGACAAGAAATAAGCAGGGTCTTTTTTCATGCAGGAAAATCATAAAGACATGTTTTCTCAAAACAAACTGTGTATCAAACACAGTTGATGTGACCATGTGCAAGCCCATATCCTTAAGCTTAATTTGACTTTTAAAAACACCAAAAAGTCGTTTTAACGGCTGGGTAACCTTTCTTAAAAACAGCCTCCAGGCGTGTACTGTAACTAACAGGAACGTCTCTGTGGTATCCTCTCATGGTCAAAAACGGTTACAGTCAATTACAACAGAACACACTGAACAAAGCCAATGAGAATTACACAGTCACAAATTAAATGTACATTCTCCAAGTGCTGAAGCTGACATGCTCAACTGAACAAAGTGTTAATTAAACCCTGTCAACAACACTTCAGTGTCTGAGGGGGAAAAAAACCCACTCCGGTTGCCTTTGGGAAATCATTCCTTTTATAACGTATCTCATGTAATGATACTTTGACTCAGTGTGACTGTAGAGAATCGCAGAGGCATGTTAAAGAGAACGGAGCATAATTTCAGCACACAAGCGCCTGCTTGTGACGTTTTTCTTTGAGAACTGTCAGTGGCTACACACTGTATAATCAGTTTGTCCTGCTCCCTGTTATGTGATGTTAGACCAACATATACTTATGGAAAATGAACATGGAAACATGGGAAACAACAGTAATCTTTCCTTCCTCACCAGCACAGCTTTTAGAAATCTCGAGCATCGTATTAAATAAGAAGGCATTTTGGCAAAACACTGCACTGGAATACTTAAAAAGAAATAAAAATGTAACCCTGCACAAACATCTTTAAAACCTAGTGTGGCGTGGTAGATATTGACATCATTGTTCATTGTACAGCCCAGGTTGGACCCACTGAGTGGACAAGCATCCACCAGGCCTAACACTCCATGAGGGCTGTATTGTAGTTAATCCCGACCTGTGGTGAAAACTAGTTTTCTTTTTGGTCCATTTCAGTTATTTTACCACCCAGCAGTTTAGGTTTCTGCAGGCAGGGCTGTTTATTTTGTGTAAAAATCATCAGTATCGGTAAAGCCCTGTTGAAAAAATGCGGTAAACCAGGAAGCTATTGTCAAGACCTCCCAGAAATGAGCTGTGTCTGTACAGCCAGAGAGCACAGCAGATAAATTAACACCAGACTCTGGCCATATGCTAGTAAATCGGTCTGTGGGTGGTATGTTTGTCTGTGCTAACAGGTAGCTAATCGTCCCATAATGATAGCTGGCAGGCTAAAACATGTAAAAATGCCCCCCTAAAAAAGAAGGTTTGTGTACACCCAGTAATCCCTCAAAACCCCCGTTGACCATGACGTGTGTCAGTCCCTGCATGGTAGATCAAGTAGGAGAGACTCTTATCTGTGAGCTGCTTTACTATTCATGCTTTTCTTAATCTTTAACCGGTTTTATATATCTTTGAATTGTGTGTACTGTTCTTGATTTATAAGCAGGGCAAGGCAACAAAACAGCTGGTTTAACCAACAAACCCCCTTCTGCAGCAGAGAGAGGGAGTAATCAGTGAAGTCAGCTGCTGTAGTAATTGTTAGGGATGAAAAAAAAAAAAAACTTGCAGACTCTAGCATGGCACAGGATTAGTGGGAACATTGCCTGCACCACCCAAACTACAGTTTATATACCTCGGGCTAACAAAGGTACATTTTACTCGTATGGTTGTCATTCAAAGCCTAAATACAAAAAAAAAAATAACATCCTTTGCAAGCCTGCCATTCTTCGTAAGTTGCATAACTTAATGACATCACATCTTAGCAATGTGGCTTCTGGATTTGGGGGAAGTGCTCTCATCTCCAAGTACAGACCGACCTAGATAACAGGGAAACACATACACTGGAAGTGTAAATTAAAGTGGTGAGTATAACGTATAAGTTCTGGAGTCACGGTGTAGTGTTGACGCAGGGATGTGGTGGGAGAACATGGAATAAGGTCCAAAGCAGTAAAGGGAACTTAAGTGCCTGACCAGCATTGAGGAGCACTAGGCATTTCTGTACGAATCACTCTAGTGGAGCAGCAGAGATGCACAGGTTGTTTAAGGCACAGGCAACTTGCACAATCTTATCAAAGGTTGAGAGGTTCGACGTGCGCTCAGAGGCTGTGGTGAAGGGGCTCTCGACAGGGCCTGTGAGCATGGCGTACCTTTGCTTCACCATGGAGATCACCCTGTCCACATGCCTCTGCACACTCACTGTCTCGGAGGAGGCATCAGCCTGTAGCGAGTCTTCTGAGCTCCCGTATGCCTCTCCTTGGTAGCTGCCAGCAATCCTAAACAGGGCTCCGCGAGCAGCCACAGAATCGGCAATGTCGAGGTCGCGACTCGCCAGTACGACATCACCTGGGAGAAGCTTGCACAGAAGGCCGCAGCCCTCAGCCAGGCTCTTGTCAGTGACGTTTCCCAGCACGCCCCTGGAGACGAAGGTGACAACGCCTTGAGGAGCAACACCAATCAGATACTTTAAGACATTGTAACTTGTCCCCAGCCCCTGAGAGCTTTGCACCACCCTCTGCTGTTGCTGCTGGTTGCCCCGGGAAACCGGCTCCTCAAAAGGCACCGTGAAGCAGTCTATAATGACAGCGCAATCAGGGTGGGAGGTGCGCAGAGCTGCCGGCAGGTTTTTCCGGAGCTCGGCTCTAGAAGGCCAGAAGACGGCCGTCGGCACCAGAGTGGAGGACATGATGCTGACCATCTGGTGCACGGTCCTGGTCACCGTGCCGACTTTCACACCAAACCGGTAGGCCAGGTCTTGGTTGCGGAGGTCCAGGCGGAGTCGCATCAGTGTCAGCAGCAATTGCTGGAACTTGGAGAGCTTCATGTTTTTCATCCCGTCCATGTGAGGTGCCAGCAGCCACATGACCGTCTCTAAGACAAAGTAGTTGGGTAAACCTGTGTAAAACTTTACTTTCTCTGCATCGTTCCTCAAAGAGCTCTCAGAGAGGGAAATTTTTTCCACAGACTCCCTGAGGGTCTGGTTCTCCTTCTTCAGGGCCTTCAGGATGTCGTCAAAGTTCACCTGTGCATCAGAAGTCTGAGCAAACCTTCCTTTCTTGCTGTCACTCATAGATTCATCATCCTCGCCATCGTCTTCATCAGTGCTGAGGGAAGAGGACGCACTTTCCTCCACAACGTTCTCCTGCTCCCTCTCCTCAGGATGCTCTTCCTGGCCCCGCTCCCCCGCTACAGACCTGCCCTGGCCCTGCAGGAACAACAAGGCATTGGCTGCCTCCACACGTGCTTCCTGCTTGTCCAGGATCTCCAAGGCACCTGGCTCTTTCATCTCTGGGGATAAGGGAGCTGTCGTGAACACAGAAGGAACATAATCTGGCGAACGCGGATTCTTCACCTGTTTACCTGCATGCAGAGAAAGATGATGTTGTAAATGGGGAAAAAAACAAAAAAAAAAACAGATTTGCCTGTTTATAGCACTTCCCCCAATAACAGTATACTTTAGTCAGTAGGGTTTGAGGACAAATTGTAGTGGGCAAGCAGCCATGCTTTTTCCACCCGCCTGAGCTGGTACATTGTCCCGCCCAAAAAAAGAGCAAAGTGAGCAGTTTGATAACAACATTTTTGGGGGTCAGGTTTGGATTTGGATGTGTTTAATGAGGTTTCTTCTGGGTGTGACACTTTAGGTCCTGTTCTGATGGAAAAATTATAGCTGCAGTTATAAACAGTTTTACACCAGGACGACATTAAACATACCTGACACTGAGCTAATCATAACAAGGTTAAAATGTTACAATCACTTTATCTAACCTAACTTATTCTTAATTACTTTGTTCCACTCTTCATAAAAGATGGGGAAAACCTTCATGCTATGAATTAGAGCGCAACTTGGGGAAAATAACTCTATATTGACTGTTCAGCTAATGCATTCCTAAAAATGTTCTCCTTTAACAAGGTTACATCAACAACAGCAAGAAAACAACAAGTTCAAAACTTGCAGACACAAGACTACGTAATTACACAAAAGGTGTGAAAATCACATGCACAGTTTCCCCACTTATTTATAACCATTAACTAAACAGACTTTACAGTCTCTTGGGAAACTAAAATAACTGGCACAAATCACTGAGCTGTGAGCTAATGATACAATAATAATAATAATAATTTTATATTTAAGGCCCCACAGCTGCAAATAGTTTTGGTTTTATATTAATATCACTCAACCTGTTTTATGAGGTTTTTAGCTGATAGGCAATGTAAGGTTCAGATAACTATTGAGTTAACTATTGATCAAAAATAATTAATTGATAATAAAAATAACTTTTGGTTTAGAAAATATCTACATTATTAATTACATAATAAAGTGCATTTACCGTTATAATTATGCCAACTGTCATTTACTAAATTCAATCAAACCATAAAAATGTTTGCCAATAATAATCCACCAACATCAAAACTAAAGGAAATGAATTTTCAGTCAGTCAGGAAATATATTCCCATGTGGAATTAGAGTAACAACACAAACGGTGGGATACTTTTAGTTTCAGCGCTGTAGCGTTAACTGCATTCATACCTGAGATGAAGTGAGTACTACACAGCCGACTGCCGTCGTTCGGCACCCAGCCCTCTCGGTTCACAGCAGCTATCCAGCGCTGCTTCCTCTCGGGGTCCCGGGGGAAACGGTAGAAAGATAAGGTGGTGCCTGGTGTCCTTCTGTTCCTACAGCCTGCCACCACACATGTGTGAACCATAGTAAGGCCACGGAGAAGCGTGGAGGTGTGCGCTGCTATTTGTGTTTTGACTCCCAAAATGGTGGACCACCAGAGGGTGAAAAAAACCTGTAGGACCGTCATCAACGGTCGTTTGCATCCAGCGATTTAATTGGATAATCCCAGGGCGACGTCACTGAAATGCGATCCTAACTCACGCGGTGCTGCATCAACGCTAACGGCCCGAAGTGACGGTTAATCGGTGCAAATATCGTGGAAATGACCGAAATGTTAATTATAAGTGATTACAGGAGTCGGATGAGAGGAACTACAGAAAAAAAAAACTACAAAAAGTCGCAGCCGGAGGAAACATTAGCGTAACGGTTCTCTGGCTAGCTCAATGTTGACGTTTAGCTACATGCTACTACTCTCTGGCGTTACCCTGGTTACCTCGACATGTACCCAACTCTGTATACAGTCAGTGTTGCCATGGTTCTGGAAAATGTCACCGTGCTGGACTGTGGTTAGGAGAGCTAGGACATATCACGGGTATACATCATCTGTCTTTCATTCTCAGCCGACAGCAGCGATTCTGCTGATCAGTGAAAGTGTGCTGCTGATCCTGAATCAGGAGTGAACACCAAGCGGGCTTAAGAGTGCTGTGCAAGGAGGATTGTCTCTGGGTTTCCCTCTCTGCAGCCAACATTGATAAAGAGCAGACTTTACATACACTAAATGGCCAGAAGTATTAGTGTAAGTCTTGTGTACTTTCATTCTGGACTAAGTTAGGCTCCTTGGTGGGCCAATGAAGTGGACATTATACACTGCTACACTATGTAGTGATTGAAAGTAGTTGACCTTGTAAACAGAAGTTGATTAAACAACCTCACCACAGGATCAGATTAGTAGTTGTTCTGCATCTTCCTTAGCAGATGCAGTTTGCCCAGTTGTCATGGAATTGTACATGTTAAAATGTCCAAATATCAAATATCTGCTACGTCAAAGTCTTGTGTAATATTTGTAATGCCAGGGTCCCCACTGGTCTGTAGGAAGGTAGCTGTTGACTGGGACCATAGAGAGCTTTTCTTTTTTAGCCTGAATTATTAATGCTGTAGACTGGAGTTCAGATGATACTTTTGTCATCTTGTAAGTTTTTAGCATGCTGCACTAATAATCATCTTTAGACAGCTCATTTCCATATTATGTGCAGTGATGTGTTATGATTTTATTATATACAGGTAAGCTTAAAACCAGAATAAATGTACATAAATGCAGATTATTGACTAGCCATGCATCAGAACTATTTACAATCTAGAAACAAAAGTTACCAAGCCTCCTTTCTCTGCTACATTTTAGGCTCCCATTCAGGCAGAAGAGTAATGTATCCGAGCAACCTTTAGTTGTGTGTGTTCAATTTGTACACAGAGGTGTTCCTGGCTCCTCCCACATGCTTCAGCCTCTTGAGCTCCATTAGACAGAGGATGTATACAGGGGTTTTGGTTCCGACATTGGTAATCCGCCTCAGATCCTCCATCTGAAACTCTGTCTTCTCTCCTGCAGAGGGCACCACAGAACAATGACTGGTTAGATGCATCAGACAGCTGCAAAGTCCTGTTTTTGTTCTTCTTGTTCATATGATTACTCGCTAGTATACAACATACAAAAATTTCCACTATATCTGCAAGACTTGGTGTTTTGAGTTATTTATGTACTTGACTATGTACTTTTGAGTATTATTTATGTATGATGCATCACCTTGTTTTAGTTACTATTGTCTCAACTGGGTTTTGAGTAATGCAAGGTAATTTTGTTAGTGCAAATATATTAAGCCAAATAAATATTGAACTGATACACATGGGAAAACACTCATATTTGCAACAGTGACGCTGGCACAGTCCCATGGCAACTTAAGTGACAGATCTGTGAACGTAGATATACTGCCAGGCATCGTTTGTCTACTCTCCAAATGTCCCAGGTGAAGCATTATCTGCATTGATTATAGACATTTTATGACAGTCTGTAATTTGAGATAATAATAAATAATAATTCATTGGAGATACATTATGATGCAAGGTTTGTGAATCCAGTTTTCTTCTTCCTGTACTAATTCACAGTAACAACACCTTTGGTCTCACTCCTATTTACAGTGTCTCATCTTTTTTGATTTGTTAAATCTGTTCAGTTTTATTTTATATTGTTGTCACAGTTCAGACCACTCATTGTCACTCAGTTAACACACAACGTTACTTCATAGTTATTTGTTGGCTTGTCTCAGTCTGTGGAGGAATAATGATCGCTGAGTGGCATGGGCAGCTCTTTGCACTGAATACTATACATAGGCAGTAAGTACAACTCTACCACATGATCTTCTATAGCTCAACAGGAAAACATCACTAACATTGACACCTCATTGGTTCCATTCATTTAGAGCTTATGCAAGTAGCAAGGAAGTTGAGTGGATAATTTCCAGTTCAACTGGCATATTTGCCTGGTCTATGAACGCGCCAGGCCTTAGTGGCTTTGCTACTGAACTCTAAATTCATATGCAAATTGTCAAAACATCAATCTATTTTAACATGGATGTTTTGCAGCCTAACAAAGCTGGGCAATGTGACCAAAATCAATATCACAGTAACTTTAATACAGTAAACACTTGATAAATTAAAAAGGATAAAAAAATACCAGAGTTTTTACAAATAAAAGTCAGAATTACCTCATTTGCTAAAAGAACATGTTCAATAAAGCAACAAGAGACGACAAAAGCTCAATACGTTGTCAGCTTCTTTGTCTTGAATGCAGATGTAGAAAAAAAAAAAGGTATAGATGGATTAGTGGATAACTGTGACTGACTGCTTTTTTAAAAGGGGACCTCTGGAAAGCCCAACGTTCAAAAACAAAACAACAACTCAGTTATAATGGCTTGCTTGCATAATTACCAACCTATAATGACTTTGTTGACAAACAAAAATCTCTTATTTATCGGTTGGTCAGAAGATTGGTCACTGTTGCATTTCTAATTCCAACATTGAGATCTCACTCTAATGTTCATTTAGTATTTCTGATGATCCAATAGCACATTCATGTATGATTAGTCTGGAAGTGGTTACAAATACAAAAATCAATATACCAATATCTGAATATTGTCTTTGAAGTGTACTGTGGCACTGACCTGGAAACTCTGCTGTGAACTTGTTGATGTTGTGGATTGCCTGGTTGAGGTTGTGCAGAGCCATCTGCCTCAGGTAGCTGGGTAAACTCTGGAACTCGCTCTCTGACACCACAGACAGACTCACAGCACTGGGACGAGAACTGGATGGAAAAGCACAAGTTTAGGACACAGAAACGAAAAAAGCTACAGGCATGAATGACATCAGAGCAGCATAAATAAAGCAATGGAAGAGATGGAAGAAAATACACAATCATAATTAGAAACAGACAACACTGACAAAACTAACCACCTGAAAATCTCCAAATTTAGTGAAAATATATATTCAAATGACACCACATCCCTGAGTATCTTATTTAATTAATTCATATTAATTTCTGCTACCCAGCAGCAGTCTAAGTCTTAGTGAAGGTATTGACAGTTGGATAAATCCCTGAGTTACTTTACCTGTTTTTATCTTTTTCTGGCCTGACATGTGGGTGCACAACAGCCATGACAGTCTTCTTTACCTGAGTCTGGGACACAAGCTACAAAATAAGAGGGAGAAATCTTAAGCAACAAAGCACACAAGAAGAGTATGGCACATATTAACATATTATAAAGTTGGTTTTGATGTTCCGATTAATGTGTCAATCAAATCAATGTGAAAAGGTACGCACTTTACAGATGTCCTGTGTCACAGAGCTGAGATCTGGCATCTCTGGGGTGTTGAACTCTTGGAAGTCTGTCCTGATGCGAGGTGTCCCCAGACTGAACTCCTGGGTGGGTCCATCCAGCTCCAGACTGCTGACCGTGAGCTCCAGCTTGGTCACCTTTTCATGCTCACTAGTCTTCTTCTGCATTTTGGCACTTCTCTAGAGGTAAACACGAGACGGGTAAAATGGCAGGCAGACAGAAAATAAGGAGACTCCAGTTTATATATATATGAAGTCCTTATTTGATTGCACAGGAGTCAAGATCAAGTATTAGAAATTTCAGCTTATTTGTTCCTCCTGTGTCTGACTAGGAGTGGACCAGTGAATCAGTAAAATATATATATACACACACATGCGTATACAGTATGTTGATCATGGTTTCCCAAAGCCCAATGAGATGTCCTCAAAGACATTCAGTTTACCGTCATAGAAGACTAAAGAAACCAGAAAATATTAATATCTGAGAAGCTGAAATCAGAGAATTTGGAAATGTTTTCTTTAAAAAATGACTCACAATGACCATTATCAAAAACAATGGTAATTAACTAAATAGTTAAATAGTTAACAGCTAATCGATTAATCTACTAACTGTTGCAGGTCTAAATATAGCACATTGACAACACTTAGCAATACTTTTTATATATACTATTAAATACTGATTGTGGAGATTATCAATATGCTATTTTTGTTGTAATTAGCTTTTTTAAGTTGATGCTCCGTGTTGCACTTTCTTTGTTTCTTTGACAGATTCTTTCCCCCTATATTAGGCACGAGTGTAATTTTATTTGAGGTACTTCACTGACAGGAGTAAAAATATTTTCAATATACAGAGAATACAAATAAATAATCCAGTATGCTGCCAATAAAATTGAATATTGTATGTGTAAACTACATTTAACCAGACTCGAAGTCAGACAGGGAAGAAATGACCACAACCCTTAAACCAAATGGTAGTGAATCTCTGGCGCACATTACCAGCTTTCAATCACATGGCACACTTCTGTTTTTACACACCTCAAAAAAAAAGGGGGAAAAAAGTGGCTAAAGCTTACACTTTGTAAAGAATTCCCCAAAACAGACTCCAGGTTTGGCATCTCTGGAATCTGCTTGTCCTCCACACCCAGGATGGATATCTCTGGCACATCGTATTCCCAGGCACGTTTGGAGCCGGTTGCTCCATTATGAGGAGATGTTGGAAGTTGGAAGGTGTGGCTATCCTCGTCAGTTTGCATGTTGATAGGCTCAGGCTGCCGTGCACTCTGCAAACATATACAAAAAGGCACAAACTCTGAGCTGAAAGCTTTTGTGTTCTGCCAGTCTGGATGAGGAAATAAAGATTTTTTTTATTACATTGCTAAAACAAATTTTGTGACCTCAGGGTTTAGAGAGAAGGGTCAAAAATATCTGAATTAAATGTTCCACATATACACACGTATTCTTTAGACCTTTTTATTGCTGACCAGTCGGTTCATGTACGGGGTTTGAAACGCTGGGACCTCAGGGGTGGTCGGCAGGTTTCCAGGGCGACCGGGGGATTCTGGATCATCGTTGCCCTGTGCAGGTGGGGAGCACTGACCATTGGTCTTTTTGATTTTGAACCCTGGGGTGCAAAACACAGGTGGCTCTGGGGACTCCAAGTTGTCTGCTGAAGGCAATAAGAACAATGTGATATGAGTGGACAGTAAAACATAAAAAAAAGGGGGGGGTTTGCAATATGCTAACAATTGTTTTGTTTTCTAAAATGTGGCTGTCATCCTAAGTAAATTCTAGGGTGACACTTTCAAAAAGTGATGCTTCTTCAATATCTATCAAAACCAGAGTTTCTTTAAAAGACCTCATACCCTATATTTAAACTTTAAGAATACACCTCCATTTTATGCATCCACTACAAATTATTTAGCTAACAATTTTTTTTACAATAGAGTGCAAGTAGAAAAAGGTTACACACAACCACTGTTTAGTGTAGATGCAGCAGAAGAACAGAAAAGAAAGGCTGTGATTCCTGTCTGGAGCTCTAAAAGTTTTATACCTTTTGCCTGCAAACTCTCCATTAGTGAGTTCACTGGTGGTGCAGGTATGTGTTGTGGTGGCCTGTTAAAGAAGAAGACAGTAAAAAGCAGTGACTCGTGTTGCCAGTAGAGGTCAATAAAGGTCACATACATCATGCAATGCACATAATGCTCTACCTTTGGGGCTTTTCAACATTCTTCTGGAGCAGATCCATGGTGAAGTCATTGTTCAGACACATGGTGTGCTCTGAGATGCCAAAGTCATGCATCTGGGGCGTCTGTAGCTCATCGTCATCCATCCGCAGGGCACATTTGGGAGTTATGGGCATGGGCGGCGGTGCGGGCGTGCTGAGGGATGGCAGAGGGAGGCTCATCTCAGGCATAGGGGGCACTTCAGAGCACCACTCCGCCCCAGCCAGAGTTCTCTTCAGCTGCATCTCAGACAGACCAAAGTCAGAGAGCTGCGGGGTTCGCAGCACGTCAGCGAAGGACGGCGGTCCGGCTTTCAGAGGCGATGAAGAGTGATTACCTTCAGCCTCCTCCTGGCTTCCCGCTTCTCCTCCTGCTGACTCATCGGCTACCTCATCTTCAGCATCCGACTCCTGACTTTTGGTCCCTGTGTTTGGGAAAGTCACAAATAAAACACATTTTGAGTGCATCTTGTTTCCTTGCACTGCAGCACATTCTCAGTATTATACTGCTCATATAAATCCTAAATAAAAAGTTAATCTTTTACAAACAAGTAAACTATGTTTGACCATGTTACGGCTACAGTCATTACTTACTGGTTGGTCTCTGGGTGTCTCGGGGAGCTCGGTAACCGTATTTTTCCCAGTGTGCCCTCAATGTCTGGATGTCCTCAGTGACCCTGTGCTCCATGACCCTACAGGCCTTTATGAAGCTGCTCACCTCATTCTCCTTTGCTTTCTGCTGAGCCAGCTGTTCCTGGATCTGCCCCTATATGAGGACAGACCTGAGTCGATCAGAACACTCAAATTTGAGGCGCCATGTAGCTCACCTGGTACAGCTGGCGCCCCATGTACCAAGGCTGAGTCCGTGTTGCAGCAGCCACGGGTTTGAATCTGATCTGTGACTCTGTCATACGCCCTCTCTCTTCCCTATCCAATAAAGGCAAAAAAAAAAACCCAAAATATGTAAAACACTCAGTTAACAGGACCTATAGCGTAGCATTAAACTATCCTGTACAAAACTGCAATGTGTTGTAAAGACAGAGTGTTAGAAACAGGCAGAATAATAGATTTAAAACACGTTTACACACAGAAAGTCTTACCTTAACGAGGCAATGATACATTCTTCACAGACAATGCAGACCTATATTATTTCATATGCTGCCACTGCACTGCGGCTCACAATACACGGACATCATAATAACAATAAATGACACTCTTTGGAAGTCGTGGGGGTTTCCTGTTAGTAGGTAGCTAACGTTAGTAGAAAACACAGAAACCAAATAACTTAAGTAACTTAAACATAAGCACTGCAGCCTGTGAGGTGTACTGGATGGAGAAGAGGCTGCTGGGGATGTGGGATCAGTGGGATGTGGGATCAGTGGGATGTGGGATCAGTGGGATGTGGGATCAGTGGGATGTGGGATCAGTGTTTGTTGTCGGACCTTTAGGTTTCCGACGTCGCAGTTCAGCTCGTGATACGCTCGCATCGCTCTCGCCGTAGTTTCTGAAACAAGAAGGAACTCATGTCGATACACGGGAACCAGCTAACATGATTTGATCGACATGGCTGAACCGTGGGCTTGCTGGTGGTCGCCTCACTCACCGTCGTCACCGTGGTTGTGACGGGTTTCAAAGGTCTGCTGGAGTTGGTCTGTTTGTGACTCGAGGGTCACCGCCAGCTTCCTCAGCTTGGAAAAGAACTGTCTGGTCGGGTCCATTGTCAGAGAAGAGGCTCAATTAGGCAAAAATACATCGAAAGTATTTCAAACTAATTCCTATAATTACGCCGCCAAACGAGCCGTGTGTTTACGTCCTCTCATTTGACAGGAAAAACTTTTCGATTTTGGCGCCTCTTCCGGGTGCAAGAGGAAGTGTCTTCTTCTTCTTTGCGTTTTTTCTTTGTTTAAGCAACTTTTAGGTGCATACCGCCCCCTACCGCACCGGAGTATGAGGACAGGACCTTGTTTTCATTGGTCTATAATCTTATATACAATAAGTTTGTATATATATATATAAAAAAATCTTACAGTTTACGCACACACATTATCTCTATTTATTTATGATACAAGGGATATTACAAATAAATGTAGATAAAGTGTCCCATCCTAATCCAGCCGTTGTTGCAAACTTTCTTCATCATATTTGACACAGTGTATTATTATTGTTTATTATCAGCCTACATGTTCATTTTCAGTTACATTACAATGTGCACATACCTGTGAATTTACTTCCCCCAATAGAAATAGTCTTATTTAACCCAGTGTGATCTTAATGTGGGTAAAAGTATCTTTTGCCTTTAACACTCTCTGCTCTGTCTTTTGTCCTCCTTTGTATGTTCTGCCTTTAGTGTCCTTATCACGCCTTTTCTGCCAAAGTTGTTGTTTTTTTACCTTTCCCTTATTCAAATGGATTGTCCATTATGTGCCTCATATTTAGTGCTGTATTAGCCACCCTGTCTGCAGATTCATTACCCTTTGATCCCACATGTGAGGGTACCCAAAACAATTGTGCATCTAGATCTTCCCTGACTGACCTCATAGTCTGTAAACGTAAAAGAGCTGCAGAGTCAGCACCACCCCGTCTGGTTTCACTTCTTCCTCCCACTGAAGACCAACGTTCCCTGCCTACGTCTTTGGGTTTCATCCAAATAGTTTAATGTGCACCATCTATCTTGACTATTAGGAAAACAAGATGAATTCAGAAGTACAATACAACTCACATAAGGACTTTTCTCTGATTAAATCATTTTAATGACTTTCTGTGGATCCTTTAAAAGAGACATCCATGTTGTGCATTCTGGGGTTGTGTATAATGAATTACAGTGTTTGTGCAATTTGATGATCTCTGGGACAGGAAGGGCTCCTATTATAGGCATACATGAATGTAACTGCAATATTTGGAGTCAGGTTTGAATAGAAACATATATTTTGTAGGGTGAAAGGTGTAGGTTTGGTTTGCATGGACTCATTTTCCAAGTTTGTGCTAATTCATTCAATAAGCCTCAGCAACAGTTTCTATTACGTTTGTCTCCATTTTAAATTCAGGAGTTAGTATTCACTGCTCCTCATGTCAGTGGTTAAATAATGGAGCCCTGCAGCCAGAAGATGGAGCTATTTTAAGCAAACGACAGAGGTCAGGTAAACTGACCTCATTACAGGTTTAGGTTTGCTATGCTATATTTAGAACTGCCATTAATATACCACCTCTCTTAGCAAGAAACAGCTCCATGAGAGAACTGCAGGGAAATAAAAGAAGGTGTGAAAGCATTTGCACTCTTCAGTGTGGGCTTTTCCATCCAACAGATTACAAAACCACAGGGTGAAAAACCTTTTACAACTTTCCTCCCTTTTCCTGATGGGTCATTGCTGTTTGTCTTGTCATTTATATGAAATTACCCAGAAATAAAAATGAAAAATGGATGAAATAAAAAAAGAAAGTGACAAAATATGTTATTATTACTTTAGTATGGAAGATAATCAAGCTATAATTCAGTGTTAAAAGAATGAAAGACTAAATTCAAAACTGATATGATTTCTAGCTAAAATTATCTTCCATAAGCTTATTTGTGTCTCTACAATTACATGGTCTGTAAGTTGTACTGACGAAGGCCCTTTGACTGAATTTTTCACCTTGTATCTTCTCTTCTACTTATTTTGTCAAGATCAATGACATGACGAAGTGATAACAAATGGACACCTCTTCTTACAGTAATCATATCTACATTTAACAATAACAAATATTTTAGCATTTTAGACATGAACAATCATAGAAATATTATGTCACCAATGTCACAATGTACAATAAGACTGATTATAAGGGCCTACATATTTCTGTAGTGTGAAGATATATACCTCTCAATATTTGGAAAGGTAAAGCTTTAGGTTCACTCCAATCATGCTCCATCCTCCTCTCAAGTTCAGAGAGAGTTGTGGGTGGAGAACTCTTATCAGATTCGCTGGTTGTTCAGGAGAGTGTATAAATATTGGACAAACTGTGAAGGTCAGTACAAACGTGCACACCGGACAACCGAGGTGAGTTGCATAAAGAATTCAACATGGTTTCAAGTTTGGTCTGGTAAATGTGTTATCAGAACAGTGAATAGATTTACACCAATTTCAATCATCTCTAAATAATGGCAAAACTTTCTTACACCTGTTATCAGGAACGTGGGATTAACTCTCCTCTGCACAGCTAATTGAGCCATGGCGATGTTTGGAAAGGTTTTGGAGCCAGTAGGCTACATGCAAACTGTCAGGTGAGTTTTCCCTTTGAGCATGTCAAACAATGGTCTTATGCGTTTCTAAAAACAAAATAATATATCTTCATAATAAATTTTCATTCCATATGTAGAACCCGTCAGCTTAAACTGTTGCATAGATGTTTCTAAAGTGTGTATGTGGCACTCAGGGTCCAGGTCCAGGGGATATGTTCCTATCTGGGCGGCAGTGCCACAGCAGAGGAGACTGAGGTGGCCAAGAAGAACCTGGATCACATCGATCAGGAGCTGGGAGCATCGGGTCACGGTCTCCTGGACGACCAGGAGGTCCACCGGCTGGAGGACGACCTGGCAGTGGTCTACTACCAGTTGGGTACAGCGGTGAGGAAACTTTCCCTGGAACTCACATATACAGTTGCACTGAGTGGAGCCAACTTGTTCTCTGGTTATTTTGGAGGGTATTCTAATGTCAGACTAAGTGATGAGACATAATTTGTATAATAATGTAATGTTTTATTTACCTCTCCTCATGCAACAATTTTAAAACCGTTAAAAATCAATACTATTCTAGTTATAATTTGTCTGCTGTATGGGTGGGCAACTGTCCTATTAACACTCCAGATGACACTGGAAATGCATCATCATAATTTGGTGTCCTGAAACCACCTTCTCTCAATGTGAAGGAAAGCATATACTGCTTATTTGTCTCTGTATTTGAAAGGAAATATATTCTAATGTTCTCAACTTGCAGTCTCTTCGTGACTAGAAGGGATTTAATTTCCTGCTCAAGGACACCTCAGTACAGGACAGAAGCTTACAAATTTAAGGACTTGAACCTTTGCTTCCCCTGATGAATGACATAAATGTATAGATTTATGGTTTTGAAACCACTTGTTTAAAAATGCTGGGATCAAAGTTTTGAAACTGTCCTTGAACAGACTTGAGACTGACCTTCTGAGGATATCAAGTTGGGTCAGAGAAAAAGGGCGAAGGATCTGGTATCGAATTAAAACTGAACAGTGAGCTGTGACCTGTTGCTGGATAAAAGATAGAGGGAAGAGAGTGCGTATATACAGCTCATTTAACTGCTACATTTGGTAGTTTAAGATTAAGGGCTCTTAAGGTGGAGCTGACCTTGGTGAGTAAGAAATGCTCTGCCAGATTCCCAAAACTGATGCGTGACTGTGACTGAACTCATCATGCTAAGCGTGTTATGTAAATGTAAACATGTAACCAGATGTGTAATTGAAGCATCTGTTTCGTTCTACCAGACTCAGCATGAACAGCCTCTTATTTTCTATGTAATTATTTCACTCAGTGTTTATTTGTACAAATCTCTTAAATAGGCTAAACACAGCAGACATTGCATCTCATAGTAAGTTTTCATGCATTTGCATTTGAAAAAAAAAACCCAAACTTTCCTGAATTAAGTGAATGGAGCTGGTGTGAGTACAGAATACTCAGTGCCAGTTTCAGTGAAGTTTCTGGAGTGAGAATGTGAGAGAAACTTTAAAAAATCCATTTGGGTAGATTTTAGGTATGTTTTCACGGGGGCATTTTCAGGTCTTCTCATTGTGAAAATTTGAGAGATTTCTTGTTTGATAGAATTAAATACATTTAAATAGGTACGATGACATAAACATGGTGGAGAGTCAAACCTATTAGCAAGACAATCATCTTTATACACCTTCTCATTGTTATATTCTGGAGGTGCAGTGTTGAAACTTTGACACTTTATTTTCAAACTAACACCTAATTAGAGCAGTGCATCAGTGGCGAGGGGATAGTACGAGTAAAACTTCAAATAAGTTAGCTGCTGTAAATCGAGAGCGAAAAAGAGACACAACAGGCAACCACAGAGACACATAATTACCACAAAGACACTACAAACCAGCATTATTAGAGTTTTTTTGTGTCTCTTTTGGCCACATGCAGGAGGGGTGTCTGTGTCCAGGGGCCCCTTGTCTCAAATTTTGTCCATGTCTAAATAGCAACTATTTATAATTTTATTTCATAATAGAATATAAAACATGAGAAACTATATATTATATAAATCAAAGTTGTTAATTTGTCATTCATTTATTTATGTAACTATTAATAATGTACAGTTTATTATTTACTTATTGCTGTTAATCTTAAATTAGTCTTACATTTTATTTTTTTAAAAGTATTTTATAAATGTGCCTCTGTTCTTTGACACTGTGCCCGAGTCTGCCCCATTGAGCACTATATCTCAAGAAAAATCCCCTCACCCCTGCTTCTTTCAGGTGAGGGCCCAGTCAGACTTCACCAAGAAGGAGACGGAAGTGTTCCTGCAGTACGTGCAGGACTACCGGCTGGAGAGGCAGCTGACAGCACTCTACAACCGCCTGATGGGAGTGTCGGCGCTGACCGACCAGCCCACATTGCTGGAGGAGCTCATACTGAGCCGCAAGCCCAAACGCTGGGAGCTGAGGGAGTTCTGCATCAAGGTTTGTGAAGGTGCAGGGCACAGCATGGAGGGGTGGGCAGGGGGTCTTTGTGTTCAACTCATCTCCCTGCAGGGGTCATTAAAGTTTAATTGTATCTCATTATACAAGTCATTATACAGAGGCACGCAAGCCTGCCTAACTACAGCAGGAGGAAGTCTGAGGTGACCTGGGCGCACACACACACACACACACACACACACACACACACACACACACACACACACACACACACACACACACAGTAATAAAAGTATATAGAATAAAACTGACAGAAATTAAAAGGACACAAACAGTTTTGGAACCGCAGATGATCTGTCATCAGTATGTACAGTATTCTTCATCAGATCCAAGAATTAAGAAGCTATTTCAGATGGCATTCCATCAAAATAATGCAAATATACTCAATATACTTTCCCTGTGGACAGATTTATAAGGAAAAAAGCATTGAGAAGCACAGCTGTACAGGATAAAATATTCAGTTTCCAGACCAAAAAGATATATTTGACAGAAAAACATTGAGGTCTTGTGGGGAATGAAGCATGCTGCATCTATCTTCTCGCTACGAAAATAAACTGAATATTTAATTCAGCAGAGCTGTGACCTTCTGTTGTCTTTCTTGTGAGCTGAGTTGGCAAATTCCCTTTTGCCTACTCTGTTGGTACAGGAACAAATGTTTTTTATCCACTAAAAGGAGCAACGATACAGTGTTGCCCAGGCTTTTATCTTCCAATTAAAGCAGGAATTTCAGAAAAGCTTTAATACTGTATTCTGTGTGAAACCACATTACATAACCGTGATGTCATAAAAATGTGGCCAGTTTGAGACCCCAAAAAGCCAATGAGTGCACATATTACTCTTTATTCATAGATTCAAATCAAGCTTTTTCTCCTATTTCTTATATAAAAGCAAACTGTTCACTGTTTCAAATGAACAATCATGTGTCCATTAGTCCATCTGTCCTAGTGCCCTTGAGCAAGACACATAATGACCGTCCACTGTAGGAAGAAATGGACCTTAACATGCACTGCAGCAGTCACAAGCTTGTTTGTTATGTAAAAGTAATTATATAATCAGCTTTTAAATACAGACATGACCTGGGTCGGGGCACTATTTACCCCTCATCACACTATCTAAGATCATTTTAAGGGCAGTGTAAAGACACTGGACATAAAGGACCTGTATTCAGAAAGATCCAACGGTATACAAGAAAAGATCTGTATCCAGATCTGTATATCGTATTGTATTCTAGCTTTAATACAAATAAACTCTGTCAAAGATCCAGTCCACATACATTCCCTATCTTTGACACAAACAAATGTATCCCCACCTTGCATAGTACTGCATTTTTGAGCATTTATTCCCATGAGAATTTGTGTAGTGTTTTTCTGTTCAAGAAACTGCTGTTTTCACTGAGTTTTCATCCTAGAAACTCAAATCATCCAGAGTCTTCTTATTAAGGGGCTTTAGTGTGTGAAAGAGCCAACCTCAGTGGATTAGTCTAAAGTCTAAAGTAATTTCTGCTTGAAATTGGAGCTGAACGAGTGATTTGTTTGTGTGATGCTCCGTTAAAGGACTTGTTTGGACTACGACCTGATTGGCATAAATGCACTGAGTAATATAAAAGTTCTGTATATTCACTGAGGTGCAAAGAATTGTTAAATTTGCCCTTGCGGTGCAGTCATGGTTAATCATAGTGAAATTATCCAATAAACAATGTACAACCAAGCGAACTTTATTCTGTGTAATGAGCTGAGAAATCTTCAGTGCACAGCAGTAGGTTTTACTTTGAGAGAAGGGCAGCAACATGGCAGATTAGGAATCAAAGTCACCGCTGAAAATCATGTGTCCGGACCGGAGAACCTGACCTTGTTAAGCAAAGGAACCCCAGCTATGTTTCTTTAACCTTGAAGAACTTATCATGTACAAATATGTTGTTGGTGATAAGTATATGTGTATATTTTACTCTCCTGCTGGCACAAGAACACAGGCAATGTCTTTTTTTCTAAATCGGACAGAATCCACCTCACCCATACATTTTCACCTAAAGATCTGCAGACAGTGACAGACCTCTGTGGCTCTGTGTACTACCCTAGATAACCTTGCATATTTGTCTGCACAAAGAGTTTGTGACATCTGTGTAGTTTATTTTAAGGAGCTTGGACGGTCTCGCAGGGCCAAGTGTTTGCTTCAGTTTAAGAGAATGAGCCAAAACAGTCTTAACCAGCCTCTGTTCTGCTGTAACACTTTTATGTTCAGTGTAGCCTGCAAAATTCCCTGATGGGACAATACAGTGTCGTAAACAACTCATTAAAGCTGCGCTACACATGATCTTGATAGAAACCCATTTTATCAGCTGAAATGAGTCTTAAAGTGTCCCACTAATTAAGCTGAAAAAGATTTGTCAGAAGTGTGTCGGTTACAGACGATCAAAACCTGAATCTGAAATCCAAACTTTTCATAAACAGCCTCCAGCACATGTTCTGAAAGCTGAACTAAATACTGTGGAGGTTCTTATGCTGTCACCTCTTTGATGTGCTTATTATATCAGAGTAGACATACTGTGTGTAGTTATTATGGCTCTTGTTGGCTGTAAGAACATAGTCAGGAACCCAGAAACTCTCTACAAACTCCAGGAATTAGCCTGCATTTCAAATGCAGCAACTTGACTTCAGTTCTGATTCCTGGGTTGTAGTTTCTGCCTCTCCAAAAAGTTCTGAGATAATACATTCCCATGGCCTAGGGACTATCAGAGTGGAGACCACAGTAGAATATCAACAAACCCATGCCATGGTACTGCTACAACTTGTATGCAGCATTCATTTGGCTGGAACCCATCCACAGGTTGTTTCTAGTGTCAGTAGTATCAACACTAGGAGATAACGAGAGAAATTAAAAGTAACTTTATTAGCTAATCGTTCCGGCATGGTCAGCTACGTACAAAAGCAGAACAATAACTTGACAAAAACATTTGCTTCTTTGTACACAGGAATCCATAGCAATTCAAAGTTTTACATTCTTGCTACACAAATTATTAAGATCACTTTCTTGTACAATTTATGCGGTTCTTCCAATGTGGTCGAACTGCAAATGGCTATATAATAACGGGACTTTTAGTTCCCGAGGCTCCTAAATGCTGTGACTACTCTGTCAAAATTTCTGAATACTTTTTTATTTATTTCAAAGAAAACAGTTAAAAAAAGTTGCAAAGCCCAGCTTTAATTTTAGCCAACACTAGTTGAACAGCATTCATGTGGTAAAACAACCCATCTGGTACTCCCGCAGGGTTAAACACATGTTCTAAACTATTTTAGACTACAGTTGAAAGCTTTTTCCTCTTCCTCTCAACAGGTAAACTTTGTCCTTGGCACCGGTCTGCTGTGCCTCTTCACGCAGGCTTCTCTGACAGGCAGAGACCAGGCTCTGCTGATGAAGACCTGGTCCGACCGCATGGGCGCCCTCTACAGGAAGATGAAGAACTCAGGAGGCCGTTGCTTAGGCTACTTTCTGGAGCAGGCGGAGGAGGATGTACGACAGCAGCTCCAGGAAGCCGTGCAGAACCGTGCACCCCCTGAGGAGGCGGCAGCGGGCATCCTGAAGACCCTGGAGAAGAACTACGATTGGCTGCGCTGGGCAGTGATGCTTCACCCTGCCGTAGGACCCATGGAGGATGAGAAGGATGAGGAGATGCAGGAGGAAAAGGGAGACGTTCCGGCAGAACAGCAGCCCAACAATTTCCTTTCTGTGGTGTCTGAAGCACCAATTCCCCATGTGGTGGCGTGCTACCGTGACACACCCACTTCGCTGGACAAGAGCCGCATCCACCAGCTCATCGTGGACCTGGAGTGGAAGATCCCCAACCCACCACCTGAGGTATATGCTTCCATTGAAGAAGACCCAGGCAGAGCGCGGCGTTATCTGGCCTCACGCATGCTGAAGAAGCTACAAGAGGGGCTGGGATCTGGTGTGGCTGTCCACGTGGTGCCGGGGAGGATGGAGATGAAGTGCAACTTCCCTCCAGCCTCCTACTACCTCTACGAGTACAAACACCGGTTGGCCTCGGGCACCGTGTGCGTGTTTGGATGAAAGGGAGGAGAAACAACCTTCTGTTCTCACACAGATGTTTCATAATCATATTACAGTATCGGCTTTATTTTTGTTGCTTTCACAGTGGCATCAACATGTCTTATGTAATACTACTTCCAAATAAATGTCATTTTAGAGAAAAAGAAAAATGACATACATGAGTTGTTTTTTTCTTACCTTCCTTTAAAGTGAAATTCCAGTTTATTACAACTTGGGTCTTATCTAAGTCACCCTTAGAGAAACAGCTGCAGGGAGGGCAACGTCAGACAGTCGGCCTGACTTTGGTCCAGGATGAATATGTCAACAAATATTAGCTGAATCGCATTCAATCTGTACAGACATTCACAGTCCCCAGAGGATGAATTATTGACTTTGGTGATGGCCTGACTTTTTACCTAGCGCCATTACGAGGTGAATAAATACCTGCAAAATGTGACATTCCCGTCAGCCTCAGCTAGCATGCTAACACGCTAAACTGAGATGGTGAGCATGGTTATACCTGCTGAAACATCAACACGTTGTGAGCATGTTAGCATGCTGATATTAGCCTTTAGCTCAAAGCACCACTGTGCCTAAATACAGCCTCACAGAGCCGCAAACATGGGACTCAAAGCAGTTGCTGAGATCTCGGAACAGGGTGACGCAAATACCGTAGATCAAAGTTGAAGAGGTTGTTCTAAACTGTGATAGATGAGTGGCCATAATAATAACAGGAAAAGGCGGTTATGTTTTCAGTGCGGTTTGTGGGTTCTTCTGTCGGGAGGATTAGGGAAAAACTCCTGGCCTGATTTTTTATGAAACGTGGAGGGAGCATAGACCGAGGAAGAACCCATTCAATTTTGGAACAGATCCGAATCACGGGGCAGATACACTTATTATTTTCCACTTTCCTATAGCAAAATGAAATGATTTGTCTCTTGTTATTGAAGTAAATGGTGTAACACAACTAAACATACAAAAAAAAACCATAGAAGCCGCCTCAAACATCACTTTAGAAACAAATGCAGGTCCATAAAAAATATACTGGTCGCACTAGCTTCTCTGTCCTCTCCTCTGTTTGACTGGGGGCTCAGCAGTGGACCGCAGAAAGAGACTCTGGTGGAGACAGTGATTCAGGTGGAGTAAAGTACTTTTTTTACTCCATTTTTTACTCAGTTTGACCAAAAACAGTATTTTCACCTGCTTTGTCTGCAGTTGTTGTTGTTGTTGTTGTTGTTACCTGCAGGCAGTGAACCACAACAGCAGCACAGGGAGGAGGACAGAGCACTTTGGCAGAGGTCTCAGAGTGCCCTTCTTGTTAGGTAATCATTTTAAGGTTTGCCTTTTAAATTAATTTAGCTAAGTGAGTTTGTGTTTGTTGTTGCCGTGTTCACAGACCTCAGCAATTAACTGGTTGTTTTTATTGATAGGAATGATGGCCAGAACAACAAAAATGAAGCCCAAGTTGTATGAAACCTGAATTTCTCTTTATGGCTTTCTTGTTTTGTCACTGAGGTATGCATTGACTTTCCAAACAGCAATGCTAAATCACAATATCAACAAAGAAGCAGAGATCAAATGTTTGACCCGTATTAACTGTTAAGGTCTTTGTTTATTGCTGATAACTGATGGATCAGAAGACAGAATAATTCCCCATCGGAATGAAAATAGTCAATGCTCTAAAACGGTCCATCTCATCCATGATTGAGTGTCCAACTCGTCCACATGAGGAATTAGCCGTAGTCTTACTGTCCATCATATAAACACATAAAATGTCCTGGAAAGATCCATATCTCCTGTCCTTCTCATTCAGTATAAAGGTCCGAGTACGTGGTCTTACACAAGTCCAACATCATTGTTGAGCTGAATCATTTTTGCTAAGTCCTTCTTGACATCTGGGAAGCCCTCCAGCGTCTCGTGAAAGTCGTCCCAGGACAGAGAGAAGCACTGGCAGTCGGTCAGTGCCTTCACTGTGGCCAGATGTTTGCCTTTGGTCAGCATGCATGTCTCTGTTGTACACACAGAGGGAACCACAAAAGCGTGGTTAATGAGTGAGTAAACCCTAATGACAGGGATGAGATCTGACAATTAATCCTAAATTAAAATAACCAGACATAGCTGAGTTGTTTCGGGAAGCCTGCTTAGCTCTAAACGCTTCTGAGGTTTGCTGCCAAAAAGATTAGGACCTGTTCCCACTGAAAGCCTGAGAATTAAATAAATCCCCCAAATTGGAAAAGATAGATTCATTCAGTTTAGTTTGACAGTAATTTAAAAAACACTGCTTCTTGCTCACCCCCCCCCGCCCATCCCATTTCCTGTCAATGAAGCCCCCACTTTAAAAAGAAAGCGGCCTCCTGAGTATCATCATATGAGTGCAAAATCCACATAGAAATTGTTCCCCTCTTAAATCAGTATATTCCCAAAATCCCATATTGGTCGGGTTCTACTGTGGAATATCCAGACTATAACTGAGCGATTTTTAAATATAGAAAAGAGGTGGACATCTCAAAATCTGAACATAAAAACAAAAACTCTCTGCATGGTCAGAAACCAACAGAAGTAAGTGAAAACAATTACTTTGTAATTTGAGTGGACCGACCCTTTAAAAGTATTTTCCATAGCTCAATATAGTAGTTAATACACAAGAGTATGAGTATTAATCCAACAACCATAAACACACATAATGGTGAAAAGAAACACAGGGATGACAACTCCATCTGCTGAGGAAGACCATGAGATGGGTTTGAAAGCACAAAAAGCTACAAAGTGGACCATATTGTGGACTTTTTTTGGGGTCAAATGTATTCCTTCATTAAACCCCCAGTGATCTGATCTGAGAGCAGTTACCTGCAACATATATTTGATAGTATAACACATTATTGTGATATTGCTTAATACAAATTTCCCAAGTGCGTTTAAGAATACCACGGAGGCTGAAAATATAAAGACACATGAGCTTGTAGCACCTTTTATTGCTTCTGTTCATTCATTACATTATGTAACACTTAATCAGTGTTGTTGTGTACTTATTGTACTTTTGCTTTAGGTAGTACAGATGTTACTAAGAGTTAAGTTAAGTGACCTAATGAGTTCTATGAGCTAAGAATTGGATTTTGTCTTAGTTTGTTCTTATTTTTCTAGAGGTATAAACAATCTGCTTTCCAGTGAATTAGGCTGAAAACTTTGTGAGGGAAGTTGCAAAACACGTTCTTGTGTGTTACTTTCTGTAAAGTGAATCATTTGACATCTGCCATCTCCTCTTCCACTTCACATTTCCTGACTATCGCTGCCTGGAAATCACTTTTCAAATCACTGAATGATGTTCCCGATTTTCAATAATCAGAGTAAATCCAACTCACCGCCAAAATAGTCTCCATCACACAGTTCCCTCTCGTAGGAATCAGTCTCCATGAGGACTTGGCCGTGGTCTATGAAGAACATGCGGTTACCCGGGACGTTCTGTCGGATGATGGCGTCTCCCTCCAGGAAAACCTCGTACTCCAGTTTGAGGAGGACGGCGTTGATAAAGTTTTCGTCTCTGTTCTGAAACAATGGTACGTTTCTTAGCAGTCGGCTGCACATCACCATCAGGATTTGCTGGAAAATAAATACAAATATTATGTTATAAATTGAAGAACTATAAAGAGGGAAATATGAGATTATTATAAAACATGTTGCCTCAAAAGAAAAAGAAAAATCAACAAGAGGAACAAAGCCCCAAAGAAACAACTACTGTAACAGCATTAAGTTCCAAGCAGAACCTCTCAGTACTACAGAACCACAGCTGTACCTCTTTGAGCGCTGAGGACACGGTGTCCATGACGTCCTTCTCTTGAAACCACTTCCCTCCATAGCGAGCCTGGTAGTAGTTGTTGATACGAAGCTGCAGCTCTGGTGGGAGCTTCATGAAGGTTATATAGTGCTCCAAACGGCTCATCTGTGGAAAGCCAATATGTTTTCAGGATCCCCCCTCCCATCACATGATAGCCTACATGACACACAGCCTTACAGTGCAACCATCTACTCAAGCTGCATATTTAATGATGTATCATAGCTGCACAGTTCCACTTTCCACAACTGTGTGAATGCGAGGAGTAAAGGGAACGTTTGTATGTTGGTATTCAAAATTCTGATTAATGTTTACGAATGTCCAAGCCTGTCTTGGGTTAAAATAAGTGTCTTGCGAAAGTCACTTGACTTGCATAATGGCGCATTATGAAACAATAAACTTTAAATGTCTTCTTGTTTCACACATGACACAAACCCGAGTCTCCTGGTTGAAAACCTCCTACTGATGCAGACTGTCTTGCTCTTTACTACATTACCTGACACAGATAAGTTACATTAATGTTAATTAAGTGATGAAATATATTAATAGAAGCAAATACCACAAGAAAAATACGCATTTCTTTCCGTTGATTAAATTAAAGTAACTTAAAGATGCTAAAATAATATAAAGCTTGATGTAAAACCAATGTCAACTAATTTCTTATCTCCGTTTCACTGAGTAAAGGAACTTGTTTACTACTGAGCTGTATTTTCTGATGCAGGATAGTATCACCAATGAGGACCTTGCTCTTGTACTCTTTGGCTGCTGGGTCAATGTTGGCGATCATGGTTGTAGCGTTGGCCACGAGGACAGTGTACATCAGACACCCGGACACCATGCTGACCATGACGATCCACATTTCAACATAATCTGGAGAACAAGACACCGACACACCAAAATCGATTTAGTGCGAAATGGAATGTATTTATATCTGAGAGGTAATGTGATATATATGTGCTTTTTTTAGCGATGGACAAAGAAAATCTATAATTCTCACTTGTTGGTGCATCCATGGAGCCATAGGAGAGAGCAATCATCTGGGAGAGAGCTCGGAAAACTCCCCAGGAGTACTTCACAATCACTGTGGCATTCTGGAAGAAATGCTTTCATCATTAGTCACACTACTACTAAATATGGAGACTAAATTGATACATTTTTATTTGTCTAGTTAGTTTCACCATCAGGTTTTCTTTCCGGACCCAGCAGTCAGTGGGAAACTCCTCCAGCATGGGGACAAAGTACTGGATGCAGCCATTCCAGTGACACAGCAGGAAAATCATCATGAACAGAGACAAGATGCGGAAGAACAGGCGGACCACCTCCAAGTTTGCATTTGACACCTGTCAGGAAGAGATGGCAAGAAGGCATGTGACTTTGGCAAGCAAATCCTACACACTGCAGGACTTCCTGGTAGATTGCTTGGCTGAGATGTGTTCCATATTACAGCAGCATACTGGATTTAAGCCTGGTCTAGGATCAGCCATGTCCTCTTGGAAGCCTACATTATATATAAACAGTATATATCACCGGCACAGTGGTACATCAACAACATCAAAATATCTATGGCTAAGTAAATTCAACTCCCTCTAGGAATAGAGAACAACTTTAAAACAATGCAGTGATGATAACAGCCATGGGGATTCAGATTGAGCAACATTTGGACAGAGTTATGGATTTATAGATACTGTACAGACCTTCTTTATGACTTTAACTTGTGGTAAAAACGTTCATTCTGATATATTATAACCTGCATCTTATTTTCATATTTTTGATCATCATATCTATCATTTATGATAACTGGCTTCCTGTTCATCCATGTCTCTGTGTTTCCAGATCTAGGCAATTAACTTTGTGCGTACTGTGTACAATGTTATTATTATCATCAGGAATGATGGAGCTTTGAATTATCCTTTAAGAACAATGTTCTTGATCTGACCTAATCTAACAGCCTATTAAATAAAAGTACCAAACAGATTTACTGCACCCAACTACCACAAGAAAAGACAGAAAAGCTTGATGTATTTGCAAACAAATTGCAACATCAACACCTCCAAAATTCTGGTGATGCACATTAATACAACACCATCACCACCAGAGCAGGACAAAGGACATCAATGCAGGATTAGGGAATGCCAAAAACAACTCTGTAACATCTAAAAGCAAAAGCCATCTATGTGACAGCACCAAATAAACAGCCCATGTAGGTTATGTGGCATCTTTTGGTCTAGCAACATCACAACCAACAGCAAGAATATCATTACTGAAATAAGGCCAAGGCAACTGTGATGGCTAGACCATGTGATTCGGATGACGGCAGATCTCATCCCAAAGGCTGCACTGAGATGGAGAAAACCTGGAAGACATAAAATCACCTGGCACAGAACTGTGATGGACAAGCTAGCCAAGATTAACTTGACTTGGGGGGAAGGTCAACATGTTGCCAAGGACAGGGAATGATGTAGGGAGCTCACTGTGGCCTTACGTCCCACAAGGGTCAAAGAGGATTAGATTCCAGTAACCAAAACATACACCAGAAACCATTTACTTCAGCTACTAGTAGCCGTTTAAAGGCTTGGAGTTACACACAAATCCCAGACAACATACATAATGCAGTGTCAAGATTTGTTCCAAGATATATTGTTTCAATATGAGATTAACGGGCATCATAAAAGTAGGCTTGAGGTGTCCTGGATCTGTTGTTTGAGCCCAATCTTAGGGAACATGCATTATAAAAAGGCACATTCTGTTACAAATCAGAAAATTGCATTGTTGATCGTGAAGCAATGAGTGATCTCTTGTTTTACAAATGACATTGTCATTGTAAGTGTTCAAAGTCAAAGATTAGTCATCGGAGCCACGTCTGGTAAGGTATCTATCTGCAGGTAGGAGAAAGGTTGATTGAATTTCAAAGGTGAGCTTTGAAGACTGTCTGGTTTGAACTTACTTTCTCCACTTCGTTGAAGAACCTAACCAGTCTGGACACTCGAGCCAGCCTGATCAAACTGAGGATCCGCACAAACATCAGTATCCTCATCATCTTGTTGGTCTTGGAGGGGTTGTCATCGCTGTGGTATTGTAAATCCTGGGATAGTAAAATAGAGATGCTCAATTATAAATGGTACGTTTTTTGTTTGATTTATTTTATGTCATTAATCCAATTTTCGAATAATCTAATGTTTTTATTTTACTCCATTTTCCTCAGTAGTTATAACACCATCTCACTGCTTTGAGTGCTACATAAGTTTCTAATTATAGACTGACTGCAGCACACAACAGCCTGTTCATTATTACCGCAAACAACAGTATGTAGCCGATTGGGAAAGCAGCTATAACGTCCGGAATGAACCATGTCCTCAGGTAACTGACTCGGATCCGCTTGATATCCAGAATAGCTTCCTGCGAAGAGAACAGAGCAGCAGATTGAGCAGATGGATGAAGATGCTGTGCAGCATGTGCCACGATCACATGTATAATTTAACACTTGAACTGAACCAATATTTGGGGAGTTTGTCCAAAATTAAGCAAGATAGTGGTGTCAGATGAGATTAGCTGTGGGCTGAAAGAAAATCAACATTAATTTGACAGCGTCATTGAATTGTTGCTCAAGTACAGGCATAAATATTTCAAACAGGCAGTAACCGACTGAGAATAAATCTGGCAAAACCAGATGCTTGTGCGGTCCAGAGTAAACAGCACAGATGGGCCATTTGTGATTGGCAAGATAGAAGTTACAAAGCATAGGCAGATAAAAACAAACAGGATATAGTCTGCATAATACTTAATTGGAAATGTGTACTTCCCATTCATCCCATATATCATAATCCCTGTTATAAAATCAAACAGCAGGTACCAATTTTTCCCATGAACAGGAGCTGGGGGAAGGGAGGATTGTTAATCTAGCCTTTCGTGTATTGAGTAGATTACAGATGGGGGAGAGATGGATTGTATGTGCTTGTCTGCGCAGGGATTATAGTCTTCCAGATTGTGTCTGAAAATAGAGTACAGCCACTCTCACCTCGCCGTCCTCTGTAATGATGCCCATTCGGAAATTCAGAGCCACATCTATCAAGAACAGCGTGTCTGAAAACACGTTAAATCCTTCCCATGCCAGTCCGCTGTTCCCATCCAGAAATGCTATCTCCATGGGAATCCCAATCAGGTTCAGAAATGTGATGGCCATCATGCACATGATGTAGTAACTCCTACAGGAAAAGATCACAAAAACGTATGCGAGCATGTGTGACTTTTGAGTGAGCCTCAGATCTTGTTTTCCATGTAGGTTTGTAGTGGAAATTCTCAGTTCATTTGCCAGAAGGACTCATTAGACAGTCATGCTGCAGCCGGTAAGGCAAGCTGATTTATGCACACTAAATACTCTGATACTGTAACTGCACATCTTCTCAGCCAGGGTTCGATTGCCAGGCTCAAATAACTCTGCTCTCTGATCCCAATTGTTTCATTCCCTCTCTGTTTTCGCTCCATCTGATCACCTTACAAACTAATAATAGTAATACTGAGGGAATAATGCAAAACCAGTGGTCCTTGAAAACAAAACAGCTTTTTTCCTTCTAATCCTCCAGTATCATCTTAAGAATACTTTGATGTTTACATTTTATACAAACTGTAATTTTCTGTTTTTGTGGGTTTTCAAACATGCTCTCAGAAGTGCAACACAATTAATAATCATAGTCAATTATTGCATAGATGACTAACGCTTAAAACTAATTAGTAATGCAATGTGCAAGTCACATGGAGCGTGGCTGCAAATAAAGATCACCTATTTATCTTCTGAGTATATTCTCAATTAAACATTTAGTCTATAAAATGTCAGCTATTACTGAATAATGCCCAACACAATTCTTTACACTCAAGGTGATCAACAACATCAACTTGCTTGTTTTCTCTAAATAACACTCCAAAACCTTAAAAATTTGTTTTACTGCAGTAAGAGTAAGAAAAACAGCAAATTTGCAAACTTGAGAAGTTGGAACTAGAATATATTTGGCATTTTTTGATTATCAAAATAGTTTTTAGATTCAGTTTTTATCAATCAATTAATCCACTAATTGTTTTGTTTATAATATGGATAAAAATAAACAAGCTAATAATTCCTCCAGAGTCAAATAAAGCAAATAAGGGGCTGCAAAAACTTGCAGCAACTACACAACTTTCAAAGAAACTGTAAGACTAACTAGTGGAGGTGGTGTCTCAGTACAGGACTGGCCTGAATCTATCAAATATATTAAATACCTCATGAGGCTGAACGGGTGGATGACAAAGACTCCGCTCTGCAGCTGTCGCATGCACTCCTTCTCCACGGCCATCTCACTGCCGTACACGTACAGGGACTGCCTGTTCAGCTGCGGGAGAAGCAGAGCTCTCCATCCACAGGTGGCTTTGGTGCATCCCACGGTGGGACCTTTTAGTTTCTCCATGGCCCGACCTTGTTCCCCCTCTTATCAGCCGAATGCGCAGGCCATCCTCCCTCTGCTGCTGCTGCTGCTGCTGCTACTGCTGCTGCTGCTGCTGCTGCTGCTGCTGCTGCTTCTTCTGCTTAGGAAAAGTGGAGTCTGACTCTACCAGTCCTGACCTCCCCTCTTGGTCACAAGGTAATTTTCCATCAAGTCTCCCAACCTCAGGGCTTATTGAAGCTGTGTGGAGCGAGGCGAGTGGATACCCGCCTTTCTGCTCCCTCCCTCCCTCTACGTCTGCCTCTCTCTATTTCTGCCCCCACCGCACCCCTCCACTTCTTTTCTTTTTGTCCCAGCTCATCAACTATTCAGTATCTGTGTCTCATCCCCACATGAATCAAGCCATGTCAAGAGGGTAAGGTCCAGCTCACATTAATACTGAAGACAATGGCATGTGTGTGCATGTGCGTGTGTGTGTGGAGGGGATCACAATTATTGTCATGTGAACTAGACATCTGGCAGTATGTGCAGGGACAAGTTCGGTCTGGGCCATCTCTACCTGGGATGTAATTAAACACTGTACTGTGTTACCTGATGCTGTACATATGCTCACAGCTCTGAGCCAGCCCCGGAGTTGTTTGTTTGCATATTTCAAAACAGTAACAGAACAACACAGAAGCTGAAATATTTCATTTCAAGGGTTACAGAGTAGAGGATTGGGATTTTATTCAGCTGGATCTTGAAGGTTGGCACGATCGCAGCAAAGTTTAAAAAATGAACAACAGAAATGATATTACAGGATGTAGCAGCACAGTGGGATTAACTGATGGGTCATGTCAGTGAGTGAGGTGAATTACTGGCAGTTTAATGCATGAGATGTGTCTAATAATGTGAGGGACATTTTATGAGATTACTGTTTTTTGTTCATCTTTGGACAATTTCCCCTGTGTCGTTTGCAGTAGAGATGAACAGGAAACACTATAAGTGGTTGCATGCAGGAAAGAGGACATTTTTTTCTCTTATATATAGATCAGTGCCACTGGCAGGGTGGTGTCTTGTAGTTCAGAGTTTTAGGTCGATTAACTGGAGAAGATGTGTTTTGTTTTGTTTCAGTGCTGTCATAAAGAAAGTCTCTTAATTAGGTACCTTAGGCAGAAGCTACCACATACCACACCGCAGCGCTCCCTCTTAAAGGCCCAGTGTGTAACATTTAGGAGGATCTATTGGCAGAATATTCATAGGTATCTTTTCATTTGTGCATAATGACCTGGAAATAAGAATAGGGTAGTTCATGTTTTTTGCAGTTCGTCTTTCGCACTTGGAAGGGGAGGGCGAAGCAAAGGAGTTGCAATAGGCAACTTCACCGCTAGATGTCACTAAAGCCTACACATTGGACCTTTAAGGTCATTTGCTATCCATTGCTACAGTGCCATCTAATCAAAGTTTGGTTCGTTTTTCCATTGTTTTGTGTGTTGGTATGTGACACGTTCTCTCTTCCGACAAAGGACAAGGTTTATTGTAATGGATTACATGGGAGAATATTCACTTTTGCATAGCTAATGCAGATCAAAGAAAAATAAACAAAAGTGCTTACACTGCTGCTTTCCTAGACACCGCTGTAGGCTTTGTGCACACAGGAGTTGGTCGATGGTCAGGACTGTAGCCCTACACCTCTCCTCCTAAAGGGGGCAGATTTCTACAGGGAGAACCAAGACAGCTACAACTGAGAGTGAATTAAAGGGTGTTTCAATGCCACTTGTATATTTTGCATTGTTTTCTGAACCACACTATATTGATTCAATCCTGTGAAAACTGAGAACAGCAGCAATGTGTGTTTAAAATGGAGGTGCATATCTATAACACAGTGCAGAGCAAACGAACAATATGCTTACTTGCTCATTTATCTAGCACACAGCTGGCCCTCAAACTAGAATAAATGACTCAATGCCTCTGCTTACGCACTGCTTTCCTGTGCTGACGCACTGTAGACCCAATAGGCATGTAAAAACAAACACATATACCTTCAGTATTGTAGGACAGAAAATGAACATTTTTCACATTACAAATCTCCCAGGCCACTGTAGTGTTTATTCTAGCCACCAGCAACTATATTTACAGCACAGAATACAGTATCTGCCAAAGTCACTGAAACAGCAACAATTCTGTGTTTCAATACAGCTCTTTTTTGAATTATACATACAAAGTATAAGCACCTTTACCTGATATTTCACAGGAACACACAGCATTGCAAGCCACTGATTAGTCAATTAACAAATAATTTAATACATTTTGCTAATAAATTACGAATTGATGTCATTTATCAAATAAAAAAGTAAAATACCTCAAAATGAGGATTTGCTGATTTTCTGTTTTATATCATTATAAACTGAATTTCTTTGGGTTTTGGACATGGAGCACATTGATTTGTCACTTTAGAGAATAAATAATTCACCTGAAAAAATAATGGATATTTAAACAATACTGAAATACTTCAGTTTTGATTAATTTGCAGCCCTATCACAGTGATCTTATCATCCTAGTGTATTACCCAGATGAAAAGTTGAACAATATTACTGTGGTACTGCTTGCAAACAACATAAGGGAAAGCTAGAAGTGGCAGTAGTTTCACACTCATGGATTATGGGATACTGACACAACATCATTTATAGTTCTTCTCCACTGACTTAAGGCTACAACTAACGATTATTTTCATTATGAATTAATCCGTCTATTACTTTCTCAATTAACTGATTAGTTGTTTAGTTAATAAATGTCAGAAAATGCTGAAAAATGTTGATCACTATTTCTCAAAGGCTCAAATGTCTTTTCCACCAACCCAAACACATTCAGTTTTCTGTCGCGGAGAACTAAAGAAACCAGAAAATATTCACATTTGAGAAGCTGAAATCAGAGAATTTTGATTTTTTTTTCTTACATGCTTATTATGTGTTTTTATGTGAAATCTTATTAAATGAAGTAACTAGTAACAATAGCACCATTAGGTATACACCAGAGGTATAAAAATATACCTGAAAATTCTGCTGAAGCCCAAGAGAGAGAGAAATTCACTCCCAGTTCATCCGGCAGTTTAAAAAAGGTTTATCTGAATTTTTATATTATGATACATGAATAATGGTGCAGTAGCAGCAACTTCATCACATTTGAACAGCGTAGTGATGAATTTTCATTGTATTAATTTTTTATAGGTCAGGAAAAATGTGTGGCTGTGTGTGTGTGTGTGTACTGGCTGGATAGGAGTGGAAGTGAGCTAGATGCATTAGAAACACCAGAGCTGAGGGTTTCATTCTTTATGCAAATCTACGCTTGCTACCAGGGGTGTAAGAAAATATCAAAAAATATCGTATCACGATTTTGTGATATTGTATCGATGCCAGAAAAAGACTTTTGTTTTTTGTGTTTGAACCCTCAACTGCTAGATAGCAGTGTTGTAAACATAAAGTGAGGGCTATGATGTTGGGTGTTACAGGGACTGTGATAAATGTGAGACACTTCCCTCTGGCAGGAGGCTGCGGTCCATCAGGACCAAAACCTCTCGCCACAAAAACAGTTTCTTCCTATCAGCAGCTGGCCTCATTAACCAGGCCCAGTACCCCCTTTGTCACTGACTCTTATACCCTCCCTGTATATACAGTATGCATTACATTAATGCACTCCAGTCTTCTGCACTGTTTTCTTTTCCTATCTTTATTTATTTATATTTTGAAAGTACTTTTCTGTGTGATTTTTGTGTGATTTGTATATTTGTATATTTTATGCACCAATTGCACCAGGACACATTCATCGTAGGTAAAAAAAAAAACCTACTTGGCAATAAACCCAATTCTGATTCTGATTCTGAATACAAATGCAGATCCCACTGTGATCCCACTCCCAACTTTTTTTATTCCAATTTTATGGATATGATGATGTTTTCTTTATACTATGACAGTTTTCTTGAACACAAGATTTAAAAATAATAATAAAATAATATATCTCAATATACTGAATCATAACCTCTGTATATGATATCGATCTGTATCGTATCACATCACCAGATGTTATACTGAGCAATGTATGTTCTGTAGATCCTAACCTGCCAGGAGTGCAATGTCTCTCTTGAAGCTGTCCTAAGACACAGATTGAACTCATGTAAAACCTAAATATAATCTTTTAATATATTTTTTGTTTGTTATATTTGTATCGATTTATATGGAATTACTCTGCAATTCCTTTGAGGTAATGATAATGTGTTATCTGCCACGGGAACTTTCCATCACTGTCTATATTCCTCACAGTGGTCTTCATCTCATCACCATCACTGTTTACATTTATGATGTCTTATTTATTCTCCTGTACAGCACTTTGGTCAACTTTGGTTGTTTTTAAAGTACCAATAAAGTTGGATTGGATTGGATTGGATAATAGTATTGTGTACTGTCACCTTTTTTGTTTTGTTACTGTATGTATTCTAACTTATATATAACTTGCTACCACTTTAAAAAAAAAAAACTTATTTGCTAACTAATTAGGAAATAAAGATTATCTGCCTATTATCTGTCTTCACTTTGAAAGAGAAAAAAGGGTCAAAAAAGAGTTTCACATAAAATAAAATGAACAAACCTCACTTAAGTTACCAGGTTTCAGCTAACTTTATTTAATTTTAGCTAGCTGTTAATTTGCCTTTGAGTCAATAATTTTGTTTGTTTTCAAGGTCAAAAACAAACTTTTATAACGTTACTCAACAAAAAACCCCATTTTGTCCAGTCTAGAATTATATAACTTATAATGATAATGCATTTAAAAAGCTTACTGTACATACACAGAGCCTCTGGTCTGTTGTGCTAACATGTTAGCTTTCTTCATCCCGCGTTTGCTACAAAACACTACATATCCCAGAAGCCTCTCCGTTCTCTTTTGTAATCACGTGAGTTTGTATAAAAAGCCCACACGTGAGCTTGGCCTCACCGCGTTGGTTTCATTTTGAAGGTGAAGCGTCCTTAAGTTTGTCCCGCTAGCCTCCGTACAAGTAAGTTACATAACATCTGTTAGCAGCTGCTTTAGTCAGCAGGTGTGTGAAGTAGTACTAATGTTATTACTTTATGTTCATTTAATCGTGTCGTTGTCCGCTATGAGACAAATGGCGGTAATGTTTGTGAACGTCTCCGTCGGCAACGTTATTACTGTTCGCCATGTTAGCTGGCGAGCGTTATGCAATGTGTCCAAACTGTTAGCTAAAGCGAGGTAGCCACAGTTCAGCCGGACACATGGTGGTTGTGTTTGGGTTTATTCCGCCGCTTTAACCTGCCACAGACTTTAAAGTGTTTGGAAAATAAATCCTCGTCCTGTCAATGATCTGTGCTGCGTGTCGATTAGTTGATGCTATCATCTTAGCTAACGTTACATCAGTCCTGCCCAGTTCAATGTCACTGTGGTTATAATGCAAGTAATGGAGTGAAAGGCAGAGTCACTGATGATGAAGGTAATCCTAGTTACAGCTCTACAATGACAGACCGGAAAGGGGTTGCTAATAACATTAAAGATGCCCTCTGTTCCTGTTAGCTGACAGTTTGCACACAACGACCCTGAAACTTTAGCAAACCACATGGGGTCATTCATTTATTTACAACCGTGCTTTCCTTACCGGTCACCTTGTCATCTGTGGAAAAGGTCCTTTTTTCTGCATCCCAACTTCCATGAAAAGTGGGCTAATCCAATGAGCTAATTATGTTCTGGATATACAAATCTAAGTGAAAATGCACTTAACTAATGTGAAAGTGGCGTTCTGTATCTTTAGTCTGCTAGTCAGGAGAACTAAAACGTGTTAATTTCTCTAGTTCAGCCAGAAGATGTCGACTGTGTCTGCTGCCAGCGTGGAGCATGCTGCTGTGACTGACGGCACTGAGCAGAAGAAGCCACTAAAACCTTGCTGCGCTTGTCCAGAGACCAAGAAAGTCAGGGATGTTTGGTAAGGACCTGGCCAAAGAGACTGAAACACATTCTTTGTTGCAAGAAGTTGAAAAGGTTTTGATGCCTCATGTTTGTTTGTTTCCTCAGCATCATTGAAAAAGGAGAGGAGAAGTGCACAGCCCTAATTGAGGCACACAAAGACTGCATGAGAGCACTTGGATTCAAGGTTTAACTACTCCATTTTGTGTGTGTGGGGTAAGTTTCACATCAGACATCACAAGTGTAGACACACAGAACTTTTTATTTTTAGTTTCCCCATCAGCTTGTTTAAAGTCTGACTCACCAGAAGCCTGCGGGTATAAGCCTGCCATTAGCCGACCAATCCAGTTGTTTCTCCCCTTTTAATATCTGAGACTCCATTGCTACGTGACGTAGCAACATACCATCCGTTCCACTTCATAAACAAGCGTTCAGTGATATCGGTTTAATGTTCTGCACAAACTACATACAGCTATTACATTTTCCAGTAAAGGGCTTTACCCTGAAGTGCAGATGATCAAGTGACTCTTTAATTTTTCATAGTCCATATATTTTTACTGTCTTATGCAGCATTTTCTTTTGCTGGGACTAAGCCATTTTACTGCCAGGTCTTACCACCTGTGCAAAAGTTCCCCCAGGACACTAAATTGCAAGGACTCTGTCACTGCATCCTGGGCTCAGCTCTGCCCAAGATGATTGTGATTAATTTAAATGCAAACAAGCTGAGGATTCCCCCATAACGGAATACCAGACCTTTCTCCAGCGCTGGCACAGCACTAACAGAAGTGTGGAGATGAAGCTGGCTATGTGAGAATAGTTTGTTTGAAATTATAATTTCCTTGTGCTGGGTCGTTTGTATCCACCAGCTGTTACTGATTCAGCCATTGTTGCCTACAAGCTAAACTACCAGACTACAACAGTGCCCTGGCATGCATTTTAAGTAAAATATGACTAATTCAAAACTAGTGCTTGAGCTGGATTACATGTCAGTCTTTAAAGTGCACGTGGCCTTTGAAACACTATCTGACCTTCAGTTAATTGGCTAGTGGAAGTCTGATCAGCCCAGAGGCCCGCTTAAAAGGAATGTGCTCAATTTGCCCCTTGACATGTGCAAAGTTGTTCAAAATGTTAGATTTTGTGATTTAAACTTCATTTTATTTTGTCCTCATTTCATTGGTTAACTACATAATTGAAAACTGGATGTTGAACCCTCGGTTTGCATGCGTGTCCTGGTGACACATGGCTCAGTTGACATGCCACTGCCCAATATGTTGTGACAACCTAAGGCCAGTTTGAATTGGGTCACTCTGGTGTGTAAAACGTCCCTTTCTGTGAACCGTGTAAATGCCAAACCCCAGATAATGGCTCTTCTGAATGTATCTGCACTCACCAGATTGTTCATAGCTTCACTTTCTTTCTCTTGTATTGCTGGTTTCATAAATTGTTGTGCACCTACTGCAGTATCAGACTGGAACATCATGTAATGAGGGCCAGAGATGGAAGGAGTGGGGAGGTGGGGGGTGGCAAAGTGTCTACTGACCTTCCATGACTACACAAAGCATGCCTAAAGCCATGTGGTGCAGTTCAAATGGCCTCGCTATCTGGCACCGTAAATATTTCAATTGACAACATTGTGAGAACTGAGTGTAGGTCTCAAAGTTAATGCTGTTTAATACTACAGTCACACTTAACTGTTAGACATGGGACCTGCTCATTGTTTTTTTTTTTTTTTTTTTTCCTGCAGTGTTGCTGTGCAAGTGGAAGACGACCCTGGACATTCCCTTCTTTCCCCCTCTTATTTATACCACAACTGGAAGGGAAATGTGGTGATCATGCACTTAGGCTCTGATGGGTTGACTGTCTTTCTGTGAAAGTGTTTTTTAAAGTCCTTCAGAATTTATTTGTAAATATCTAAATTGCTGATTTGAAATTAAATAAAAGTCCTATGCATTAACTCATTGTTGGTCTGTCCAATGATTTGTGTAAATGGATGTAAGAATTCTTAATGTTCATGTATTGAAGGTCTGTTCTCTCAGTGAATGGTTGCTTGCCACAGTTGCTGTCCCTGGTATGCACTTAGGCTTAAAAATAACTCCTGACCCTGCAAAGTCAATACTTGGCATATCTGCATTCTTGCCCTGTAGTGTGTCACTCATACTGAGGTGTGCCTGGCAGTGGACATCTACTCGGACACATTATTTAAAAAACAAAAAACAAAACTGCTATGCTACTATACTACTGCAGTGGTGTCTTACAGTAATAGTTTATCTATTCACACTTTTTTCTCTTGTAGTTGCATGTTAAGCAAAGAATCAACAGCAAAGAAGATGGCACTCTGTGGTAGCCAGTGCCATCTTCTTTGCTGTTGTGTGCTGGGGCAGCAGGTTGAGGGCAGCAGACGCCAAGAAGATCAGCTGGATCATCAGGAAGGCTGGTTCCATCCTGGGGGTCCAACTGGACTCTTTGGTGGTGGTGTCTGAGAGGAGGATGCTGTGTAAACTGCACAGTATCCTGGACAACAACGCTCACCCTTTCCACCAGGTGCTAACCTCGAGCAGAAGCACCTTCAGCAACAGGCTCATTTCCCCCCCGATGTAACACAGAACGCCAGAGGAAGTCTGCCATCAGACTCTATAACTCATCTACCTCCGGCTGCGAGAGGGACAGTGGAGACAGTGTCCTGAGCCAAGTGTTTGTCACTTTATAATTTTTACCCATCATATCACTAAGTCACTTTATTTTGTGTGTACTATGCTGATACAGTTTTGTCACTGAACAATCGCTCACTATATTTAGCTGTACTTATTTTATTTCAATTTATGCAGATAACTACAGTGTGTGGTGTTGTGTATTATATACCTACGTTAACTGTCATTTTGTGTCATTGTTGCATTTAGTTACTGTTGTACTTTATTTTATGTTAGCTTTATCCTATTGTGCTTTGCACTTTGTTGCATTTAGTTAAATTTTTATGCTAGCTTGATTCTTACTCTTGTATTACTTCTCCACTTTTACATCGCAATTGTTGCACAGCAATTTCCCTCGGGATAAATAAAGCTTCTTGAAAGTTGACCACCTCCTAGCTATATATTTTCCCGTAATGTATTTGTGTACACTGTCTGGTCTAAGCTGCAACAAACTAATTGCTTGGCAAATATTTTCTAGATTAATGTCTAAAATTGTAAAATGTCCAAGGTGATGTCTTTACTTGTCAGTCCAAACATGTTCAGTTACTTTTGATATTAAACTGAAAAGCAGGAACCTCCACATTTGACAGGCTTAAAAATGCATTGTCTGCCATTTTTGCATGGAAAAATAGTATCACTATCAAAGTAGTTTGTGGTTTCCGTCAACTAATCATTACGGCTCTAGTCTGGTCCAAATTCTTCACCACACCAGTTCATTGTGACCTTCACGCCTCAATTTCATTTAGAGACAAAAGTGTGAACATAAATGTCAGTCATTGTTGGCTTAATTTCAGTTTGTCAGGTATTAAAGATATCTTACAGTCATCACTTTGAGTCTGGGAAACAACAGCTCAAGAGGCTTAATCTGCACCTGAACTATAGCAGCATCACTTCAAAAATATGTCAGTGAAATCCTGAGAAATAATGGTGAACAGATCTATTCAGTATACTGGGATTTTTTAACATTGCAAACTGGTATGCAGCTAGATATGAGTCCCCTTTGTAGAACCTGGCATTGCTTAATGGCTACTGTAAGGTAAAAGTGTTCACCTTATTTTGTCTATCACCTGTTGTAAACCTACCTTTAAAAAGATTTAAATCAGCAATGTGACACTACTGTTAATACTGGTACTGTATGGTGGTCTTCTTAGTGTGTCAATTCAGGCATCAGAGTTTGACAGGCCTAATGTACACACTACAAATACAAAAATAAAGATACCAATTCACATTAATTATATATTCATATGTTCAGACTTTCATGTCTACAACAAAATAAAAAATAGTAATAAAGCGTGTGTGATTGTAACCTAAAAGAAAAAACTGTGAAGATTAAATTAATCAATTTTACCTTCTTTTTCTTTTGAGAAAAGAAGGTATTTTTTTATATACATTTTATTTCAATATTTATTTCACATACCAATTTCAAAGTTTGAATATTCTTAAGTTTTTAAAAGTTCATTGCTGTTTGAAAGGTTGTACTTGCATTATTATGCCTATGATTATAGTGGCATAACATGGTCTTAAAATGACAATAATGCCATTTATTGCAGTCACTTCTTGGACAATATAATATCCAACAAAAGTAGTTATATGACAGGATGACTGGCACTGATGGATAGGGCCATGATTTTGCTTAATATATTACGTATTCTTTTTATTTTTTTACCATATTGTTTATGTCATGCTTGTCAAATAAAGCGGAGAACTGAAATTCGAATGCATTGAGATGGACTCCCTGTGAGCTGAGAGGACAGCCGGATATGTGAGGCGGTGTTGGTGGGTGTTTATACCTGAAATCTGACCTGTGCTGTCATCCTACTTATTTCAGTCTCTATATATGCACTGGCGGAGCTGCTCTACTGAGAGTAAACTGGACTCAAAGTTTGGGTGAAGGAAGAACTGAGTGGATGAACTTTTTTCTAATGTGTGTGACACTGTGAGGCTCAGTCTCTCAGAGATATTTGTTCTAGTCCCTCGTCTCCCTCCCGTTTCCTGCCTCTCTCTCTCTTTCTGTTATGTTAAGTAGCGGGCCTGCTTTCTGTCCACCACTCTTTCCTCCTTGGGTTTCAATTCCAAACATGGTTATCCTTCTAGGGCTCTACCAACTCCCCCGCCCCAACCACCACCGCCTCCCATGTCCCTTCTCTTCCAGCTGTTGGCTCTGCAGTGCAGGCCGGTGGGCGAGAGAGACAGACGGAAAAGCACGGCAAGAGAAACGACAGGAAGACTCAGAAGAGAAAGACGGCGGGAGAAGCCAGAGGAGAGAGGAACGTACGCATAATGAGAGAAGAAGAAGAAGAAACCCATTCCAGCTGTGTTTCTATAACAAATAGAGCCGTGAGAACTTCTTCACATTGAAGAATTTTCCACTGCACGCCAAGGGAACAAACATTTACTTTTGACATTTTTGGTCAGTGCCAGCTGTTTATTTTTGATCGAGCTTTCAAACAAAACATTTAGTTGTAACTGTTGATTGGACAGAAATAGCACCAAGTTTCATTAGATAAGAAGTTTTTTTGGTCCTTTTTTATTTTGTGCATCAAAAGCCTCTCTTCAGCTTGTCATTTGAGAACTTTCAAACATGAGCACAGACAACTCGACTCTGTTGGACAGCTTGTTCTTTGCCCCTCTCTGCGATGGCTGGACCAACAACACAGAGGGGGCCATCTATCATTTGGGTCATACCTTCCTGTTTCTGGGCTACATGGGAGGCAGCGGGGCCTACGGGTGCCTCTTCATCTTTGGCCTTCTGACCCCGGCCTTCGTGTGCCTGACCCTGTGGGGCTGGATGACGATGTGCGGCCTGGATGTCTTCACCTGGAACCTGCTTCTGCTGCTCGCCTGCTTAGTGCAGATCTGCCACCTCCTTTACCGGCTGCACCAGGAGGGCATACACAGTGAGGAGCTGACCAGCCTCTACCAGGCGGTCTACCTGCCGCTGGGCGTGCCCATCCAGGTGTTCAAGGAGATCACAGGTGCCTTTGAGAACAAGGTGGTGGAGCTGAAGGCAGGAGAGACGTACGCTGTGGAGGGCAAGACGCCCATCGACAAGCTCTCCTTTCTGCTGTCTGGGAGGTGGGGAGTGTGTGCGTTGGCATTTGTGTGTACATCTACACACCTATACTACATAATGCAAACCACCACCACTAACTGTTGAGTATAATCAAGACACTTTAGTAATAGTAGCAATACCACAATGTGAAAATACGTTAAACATCAGAAGCTTTTATTAAAGGACCAGCATGTAGGATTTAGTGGCATCTAGTGGTGAAGTTGCAGATTGTAACCAATGCATACCGTTTGCCTTCCTAGTGTGTAGGAGAAACTCCTGGGAAAAATATCTGGCTCTTGAACTGCTAAATGCTACACTGCATTCACCAGCTAGTCGCTATCAGGCATACAGTAGGTCATAACAGAAAAGTTTCAGCCGTAAAACCAAAACAATGAGCTGAAAGATGCTAAAATGCTCCGTAAAGGGGGGACTGCAGGGTTGGGTAATTATCTGCGGGTTCATCACTACAAGCAAGTCCTTTCACATTACACACAGTCATTTGATGCAATGTTATGATAAAAAACATAGCCACATATTCATTCATATTTGTTAAAACTTTCCCTATATCCTGACATTAGTACATGAGACAGATAATCTATGAAAAAAATAGTCTCCTCTGGCTTCTCTTAGAGCTCCTAATGGTATCTGCAAGAATCCACTGCATCTGAACAAAAACAACCAATCAGAGCCAAGAAAGATACCCAGGCCAACACACAAGACTTTTTATTTCAAGGCAGTTTCAGTTGTTTGCGTTATTGTACAGATGTTAATGTTATTGTGTCCACTTTCTGTGTTGTATCCGGATGCACTTCTTAAGGTATGGGAGTTTTGTGACCAAGAAGGTTAAAGTAAGAAAGTATATATAGATATTTTCAAGGTTTTGTATAAGTATAAACTGTAGTATTTGCTGGTTTAAATTCCTCTTGTTGTGACCCTATTGTTTTACAGAAATCTCCTATTTTAACTGACCATTGCAGAACTGGAGCCCTATTTCTGACTCTTTCATGCTGTTGGCAGCGTGTAACCGTCACAGGAAATGTATCCTCTTCATCCAAACATCCTCAAAGTAGGGAGCTGCATTAGATTTCACAGTGCTGGAGCCTACACAAGAGAAATGTTGTAAACAGAGTATTTTTGTCCGTGACTCACCAGTGTGTGCCGTCCCTCCGCACACTGCCAGTTGGTTAAATGATATCTCTGTACTTGGGACAGGATTGTGGATGCTGACTGCTCCTCTTACCTTGAATTAAATGTTAACACTGATGACAGCTCGGGGTTTGAGCCAGATTTGGTACGACAAACAAATACAGTACATAATGATTTCCCCCCCCCAAAGTTCTAAAGGGCTGTCTTGCTAGATGTGATGTTCTTGTTTATCTTATAACTCACTGACTGACTATAGTTACATGTTTTTCAGATTTAAAGATTAGCACGACTGTTATGTAATCAACATCTGCGTTACTTAAGACTTTCCACTTATCAACAGTCTCCTGTTCGGTATGACTACATTACATAGCCTAAAGTATGTGGACATGTGGACATGTGATTGTTGGGATAATTTATATCAAAACCATGGGCATTAATCTGCTGCTGTAACTCTTTCTGAGGTCAGAGCTCTGAGGCAGTCCCTCAAGGATTTTGCGGGCTTTTTTTGGGATTGTTGTGGCCTAAAATGCATGATTTCATAGCAGCTTTTCTAAAACAACGAAGTAGATGTTTTTTGAGGATTTTTTCCCAATGAAATTGCAGCAAAAATAGTTGTGATTAATATTATTATTATTATAGTATAGTTCATTAAATACTGAAGGCAACTTTTTCCAGTAAGAATAAAATCGCAGTTTGGACAGTGTAAATGTGAGACGTTGGCGTTGCACATGTCTGCATGGTCTGCAACTAGAAACAAGAAAGGGAGTTTAGTGACGCATGGCTTATCGTTTTGTGCAGGAAATCAACAATACCAACAATGATTGGTCAAATTTGTGTAAAAGTAGCTGCAATTGGACAAAATTGCAAAGTTGTGCAGAATTCACAGGGATTGGTTGACTTTGCGTGAATTGTTCTTGGAGGGACTGGTTAAGGCCAGCCAAGTTCCAGTACCAACTTGGAAGCACACTATGGTCTAAAATATCATGATATCCTGTAGCGTTGAGATTCCCCTTTAATGGAACTAAGGGATCCAAACCCAAAAAGCAGCCCTAGACCCAAAGACAGCAGTGTCCACAGACCTTTGGTCATGTCTACCATACAGTACAGTAGTACCAATAGTACAGTGACATTTTTAGCATGGGGCTCTCTAGTGGAAATCCCTACCCCTGGCAGTGTAAATGCCAAAAACAGTGTAATTATTCTACAACACACAGCAAAATAGCAGTTAATTAACACCCATTGTTTAAGTCTAAAGATAGACTTCTAGTAGCTTTAAACTGCTACAACTGCTCTATATACTAAACAAACACTCCAATAAGCATTTATCAGAATACCAAACACCAGTGTCATCCAGACTTGTAATCTATTTTTTATTGTCTACATCTGTATTTTAGATTTTTCCCTCTATCTGTTTATTTGCAATTAGACTTTTAATTAACTTCCATTGTTGTACCCCTACTTTATAATTAGCTGCTGTCCTGGATAGAAAAGGCACACAAATACTTACATGTGACAATACAGTCCGGAAGAGAATAGTATTTAAAGAATCATTTCCTGAAGGAGACTTCCATTTCTTTCCTGTAGGTGTCAAGTGATTGACATAAAGCAGATCATTTTCAGCACTGATAAAAGGATAAAACCGAAACTTTTAATCCAGTGAAGGCCTAATGTTTAGTGTGCTGGATTATCTCACTTTGTGGAAGTTATTCTTTTTTAAATAAAACTTCCATCTGAGGGAGGAATGTCTTGTAATTTCTGTGTGCAGAAAGAATCATGGTAGAGGAGGAAACCTGGTATTATCAATTTATCGAAAAGACATTTTATGCATGTAGTTTTTAAGGAACTCTATACTCTGCATTGTCCATTGCTCCCCTGGCAGAGATATTCATGCTAATATTTACTCTCAAGGTCTCGGACTGGCACTTTCAAAGTGACCTCCAGCTCTATCTCAGCTCTCATGATCACATCCTAATCCATGTCTCTCTTTTTAACCCTGTATCTTACGCTCTCTTTTAGGATCAATGTGTGTTTGGAGGGCCAGTTCCTGCATTACATCCACTGCCACCAGTTCCTTGACTCTCCAGAGTGGGAGTCTCTCAGACCAAACGAGGAGGGAAAGTTCCAGGTATGCAGGTCATTTCAGTTTATGTGTTTTAACAAAGTAATTTCAGTAAATGGATGTGAGGCTCGCAGGCCCAAGTGTGGCAGTAAAATCATAAATTAACTTGAAGTGCTGTCATTGAAGGATTTGGAACAAGAAACCAGACGTGGATATCAAGTTGTCTTTTGTTGCCTTCTATCAGAGTCAGCATCGGACTGATTAGACGAACAGGGGAAAGCACTTGTCCTCTTGTCTTTCACATATCCTGTTGCTTTAGATCCGTTCAGTTAAAGTAGAAACATGGCCTGGAGGTCATGGTGGACAGCAGGGTTGCAAACAAGAAGAATGTGCTGGGTATTGGATCAGTGAGGTGCATAAATTATATTATGTCTGCAACTAACTCATTATCATTCAATCTGCTGTTTATTTTCTGGATTAACTGCTTAATAATATTGTCTATAAAATGTCAGAAAATGGCAAAAAAGTGTCCCAAAGCCAGAGGTGATATATTCAAATATTGCATTTTATCAGAACAACAGTCTGACATCTGAAGATATTCATATTGTTATTATAGAATTAAAAAAAAAAGCAACAAATCCTCACATTTGAGAGGCTGGAATTAGGGAATTTTTTTGTTTGGCATTTCTTCCTGAAAAAAAGACTACAATGATGATTCAATTATGTAAATTGATGATGATTATTTTTCTGTTGATTGAATTATTCATTGATCAACTAATTACTTAAAGAGCAGTAATGATTAGCAAACAGACAACTGAGTCCTTGATCTGATGCATTTGAGTTTTCTAATTTGCAATTTCCTCTATGTGACCAGCAAAAATATGTGCAGGGTGGGGAACAACTTTATGTTTTTAAATTAATTTGATTGAATTTCAGAATGAGAAGCTGCTGTTGAATGAACCCTCCAACAGTGAATTCAGTGCTTGTGGTTTGTGTTTATTATTTGGTTTACGTTTTCATAAAACTTCTATAAATGCAGAGTGACATTATAGTACGTGTTTCTAAGGGGATTAATATTTGAAACTATGGACAGACTCAGGTTAGCATTTTTCATCACCATTTAGTCTAAGCTTAGCACCTGCTAGTTCCAGCTTTATACTTAAATGACGGATGAATGGTATTGACTCTCTGCAAGTAAGGAAGTAAGTGTATTCCCCAAAATGTCAAACTATTCCTTTAACATCACGTTATTGACAAATGACTTGTATCAAAGGAAAAATGTTGCTCAATACTGCTACAAGTGGTGAAAAACTCCACAGAGTGCCTTTAACGCATTGATATTCAGGTGTTTCATCTATACTCCCCAGGTGACCCTGACAGCAGAGGAAGACTCCCGCTACATCTCATGGCGCCGCCGCCGCCTGTATTTGCTGATATCAAAGGAGCGCTACATCGCCCGTCTCTTCTCCCTCATGCTGGGCTACGACATCGCCGAGAAGCTCTACAACCTCAACAACAAGCTCTACATTAAGAGTGGCGTGCTGTTGGACATCCGCCTTCCCAGCCTCTACCATGTTCTGGCCCCGTCCTCGCAGGGCAGCGAGGGCGGCAGTGGCAGTGACGGTGGCATCGCCAAGGAGCAACAAACTGAACACCAGGGCGAAGACCCAGCACCGGCCTACCAGAAATGTGATCCCACTCAGTCTCAGACCCTCCAGCCATACCTGCAGGGACCAAGGAAGACCACCCTGGATGAACCCCAGGCTCTTCAGCATGACCGTTTTCAGCACCCCTGGGCGTCAGACCCGGAGCTGCCCTCTGGTGAGGACTCCACCAGCCTGGTCCTGGAAGACTTTGGTGATGTGGCGGGCTCCTTAATGGATTATGGCAGTGAGAGGGAATATTTGAGGTAGAGGGGAAGGGTGCTGGAGCTAACACACTGGGTCACCACTTAAGCTACATGTAAGTACCTCACCTGGGTGGAGAGTGGCATGGGGGTGGTGTGTGTGCATGGGTGGCTTGCGGTGCACAATTCTTACTAACCTGGCTTTATAGTGAGATACATTACAGGGCTGGGCGATAAGGCTGAAAGCAATGCATCTCTAATGTTATTATTCTTTCCCTATAATCACTTTATAGATTTATGACAATATGGCAAATGCAATGGTGGAAACTTACTAGATGCATTTATTCAAGTACGGTACTTAAAGATCCCTTCCAGACATGTATTAAGACAAATATACAAATATTCTACTTGGAACAATAATTTCTGTCTGATGTTCTTTTAAGAAAAAAAGTAAAATTTTCACTTTAAAATCCTTAAAAAGATGATTTTTGACTGTGGGATGACTTCAGATTTTTGAGGTAATTTTGACAATTCACATTTCAAAGTAAACTTCCATCTGCTGATGAAGATCATGTGATATAACTGAAAGCTTATATTATATAACACAGACCCTGTGATGAGATTGTTTTCTCGAACATCAAATTGATGTTCAGCAGAGTAAACTGTGGTCTGTGTGTAAAACAAAAACCTAATTTTGACAATAATAATAATAACGATAATAATAATAATAATAATAATTTGACAATAGATTTTTGCAAAACAATGACACAATATAATCAGTATACAATAATACTAAATTATCGTCCAGCCCTAGCAAGATACCGTGAGTTGTGAGGAGCAATCTGCTGTAATGTTCTCAGATTAATTTTATTTCGTTTTCTGGCTCTTTTGCACTGATTTGATTTATCTTGTGAAGGTCTGATGCTGTGGCTGCTTGCTCATTTGCATTTAAAAGTAAACACACATATTGTTAGCTTGTAGAATTAGTCTGAGTTTTGATTTGTTGAGTTTGTATGCGCTATCTGTAGCTATAGATTGACATTAAATGGTGGCCAGATGGTGGGCTTCGTGATATCTGGATTATTATTCTATTTTCGAACCATACTTTAAGATTAAAATTCCTTCCCAGCCAGCTGCTCTGCATTAGTGTTTGCTTTGGCTCAGCCACTCACAAGCTTACAGTTATCTTTGGTACAGTAGCAGAGTTATATTTGTTAACTCACTGATAAAACAGATGGGGTCAGTGAAAACAGTTTTAATGGAAATGAACACAGAATGGGCTCATCATAGTTTGAGACAGCTGATCGGATCTTGTGTGTGGCCAACAGCAGCTTGATGCTGTAGCTGGAGAGGGCAGACAGAGTGAGGTCGTGCAGGCAGCAGCTGTGTTCCTGTCTGATGAGGATTAGAGGTCGGAAATTTAGGGGTTGTCCAAAGAAATTCCGTGCCATGCTAATAATCCAGTGTGTGCCCACCCCTGAGCTGTCTGTCCGCTCCGCTCATCTGTTCACCCTCCCCAGCCCTGCCTGCCCTCCCACTATTCCAAAAGCAGCCCTCATCCAATCACAGGTGGAGGATCACATTTCATAGTGGGATAGTGGGGTCAGAGTCGGGGTTGGGTTGCAGGGCGGCTGTGAAGCAGTAGGTCAAATCAATCCCAGAGAGCAGTAACACAGCCTCAGTTCAGAGGCCGATGACTCACACCCAGTGGACGAGCCATCATAGTAAAACAAAAACACCGATCCAGAACCTTCCTTATGTTCCAACAACAATCTTGGATTTTAAGAAAAGTCCTCGTCCTATCTTATACACTGATACTTGTGCTATTCTTTGCATTTCTGGGTCCGTGTGTGGATGACCAGCAAACGGCAGTTAGAGTGAAATTTCAGCAGACAATTTCAAATATATGTAACAGCCGTCTGGTTTTGGCATCGGTCCCTCAGAATTATAGAGCGCCACCTGCCATTTGCACCACCATTCAATACTCAGACGCATGTGGAATAAGGGAAAGAAGGCAGCAACCTCAGTACCCTAGAGAAGAGTAACTGGTATTTTTCAATCTGGAACATATTTTCCAATGTATTCGTGTCAAAGTGACTAATGGGGACCAATACATTTTTAAATTGGTCCAGTACTCACCCCCAATATTTTCACAACTAACTATTGACATCTAATTTCACAAATTGTTGTCCCCCATTAGTCACTTTAGACACTAATGAAAGAAAATAGGGTCCAGGTAAAAAAATACCAAAGTGACCCTTAAAGGCAGCACCTACATTTTTACCTGATCCTGAGCTCCTTTTAGTTTTTAGTTTTAGCTTTTTGTTTTTGTTACCTCAGAATGAGCCGTTTTTATCTACAGATTCCATGGGTCGCCATACACGGAGTCCATGTCTCTACAGTAGCCCAGAAGAGACGAACTAAACACTGGTGTCACCATAGTTTTTGCTTGGCACTTTAAAGGGGATGGTGAAGCAATCTGCATCTACACCACTAGAGGCAACCAAATCCTACACACTGATCCCTTAAATGTATTAGCATTTCATTTTTTTAATTGAAATTATAACTCAGCTAAAATGTGGGTTGAAGGTCTCAATTTGGGCCCATAGCTCATTTTTATCCCAGGGTCTCCTTGTGGGTTATCCTGGCCCTAACCTTCTGACATTGAGTCAGAGCCTGCAGGTAAATGCTGGTGTGGCTTTGGCTGTTAAAATCCTATATTTATCTGACAAATAACCCCATTTCTTTGATTTTCAAAACCATTGCTAGTGAAATGTGAAATGTAAATAACATGACTTGTCACATTATGCAGCTTGATGTGACAGCAGCACTAAATGTTTTCATTGTCTGTCATGTTATCAGGATGTCAGTATGAAAACACTTATGACATTCCTAACTGAAGCTTTTGACTGTTGACTCTGCAGGAGGTGATAGTGACGGGAACCTACCACCTCGATTCCAGAGGGGCAGAGCACCGCTAGCTCCCACCGACACTCCCAAACTGTGAGAACAGTCTCTCCTGGAAACACTATATTATTTACAGTATAGCAGTATGAATGAGTCACATGTCACTTGTCTCCTCCTTGCGCTCTGTCCCTGTTCTCACTTCAGTTCACGTCTTCATTGTCTTTTGGACATGTAGATTGTGTGCTCTTCTTTATGTCTATTTAAATTACAGTCAATCTGATATCTTTAGACAACCAATACTACGGGCGGATATTTATCCCCACACTAATTTAATGTTGGTCTCTGTGGCAGCATTAATGCCACCAAGGCAGGGGGATCCACCACATCTATTCAATTTCAGTGAAACTTATAGATATTTTAGCATTACAATGAATATGGAATTTACAAAATCTATAATTTAATGAATGAGTGAATCAATACAATGTTCAAAGAGCATTTATATTGTGTGTTCCTGTAGCTGCTATCAGAGACAATCATGTCAACAATCAGTTAGACCCTCATTTAAATCACCATCATCCTAAGTGGCACTTGAATAGTGAGGACAGGGGCTGCCTTCACCTTGTTACTTACTAGCACATTAAATGCCTGCAATGTTATTTTATGTTATAAAAATGGATTCTGTGATACTGAAACAGATGAATATGGTTTTCATTTCACTTTTATTTGATGTTAGAACAAGACAGTTTGGCTTGGACTTGACTGCACCAAATTTGACTTTTGATGTTTTCTTTTCACAAATCACGTACACCCAACGTTAGAAAGAGTATTGATTTAAGGTTACTACACATTTTCTGGATCTGATTTAGACAAATTTGAGTAGAAATCAATAAAATAAAATAAAATCACATTATATGAATCAATAAGACGTGGAACAATCTCTTAGAATCATACTCCGTACTTAATCCTTTCAAAATCTGCAAAATATTTAGTTTGCATACTCCTCGAGACCTTTCCAGAGCTGCATATGAACAATTTAGGTACAAAACCTGCAACCTGGCAGTGTAGATATTCTCCATTTCACTTTGTTGTTGGGCATGTTTAGCTATTTATCTGAATGCACCATGACTTGGTTCAGTGTCAGTATATGCTGTCTAAGAAGTGATCTTGTCGTACTGATTTTCAGAGCATGATACCAAATTCATCAAGAGTACAACCTCTTAATACTTCTTTGGTGATATATTGGATGCCTGTAGACCATGTTTTTTTTTTCATTTTTGTAACTAACTGAGTAATACACACGTGTATACTGTGAATTGTGTTGTCTGTTATTGACTTCCAAACTAGAGAGATGGGACTAAAAGTCAGTGTTTTTAAAAAGTATCTTCATGGGGCCAACATTTCTCCATAAAGCTTTTTGTGTGCAGTGAAAATGTAGTTTGTTTTCTGTGACTGTCTACTTCCTGTCATATCTGTCACAAGACATGATTATCAAACATGCAAATGTAATTACTTAACCTACAAACATCAACAGAGAAAAGCCCAGTTACCAGTTTTATTGCTTGGCTTTAAAAGACAAACTGAATTCAGCAGCAACGACACCCTGAACATCCTAAAAGCAGAGTATAGAAAAATGTTTCATTCTACGAACTCTTCTCAGAGGCAGGAGTGAGCTAAGAAGCAAACCTGAATAACAAAAGACAATAATGTACTGTAGATACATTCTTTTTACTGGCAGTCATGATGTTGGAAGATAAGTGGATTAGCCGAATAACTAAAGCTAAATAATGAAGTATGACTAGACTGCATTTTGTCAGTAGGTAGAGCTTCCTCTAAAATCTAGTTCTTTGGCTCTCTGATCTTTTTTTTTTTTACTAACGTTAAACAAGCTTGTGAGGCTTCATGTCGGTACCCATGGGCGACTTCACTGTAGATGCACTGCATGGGTTTTTTCAGTGTCTTTTGTGTAGCTGTCTTTCTTTAGTAGATGCTGCACACCTGCACAAAGTCATGTGACCACGGGGCTCCTCGTCTGATATCGATGTTGTTCACGCACAGCGGCTCCTCTCGCCTGAAACAGAAACACACTTCTATGTAATTAAAGTGTTAAACAGCTTCAGAGAAAATGGAACTTCCTTGATTATTTGTTGTAATTGTTGCCTTTTTCATATAGATAAAAGCCAACAGAGACAGATAGGAAGTGCTGGAGGAGAGAGAGGATGACAAGTAATAAAAGGTCCCGGCTGGAATAGAATTAGGGAGGTTGCAATCATGTGGTATGCATGTTATCCACTAGGCCAGTGATTCCCAGCCAGGGGCACTTCTGCAGTTGCCAATGCGTACTTGGAAAGATTGAAGAGAAGCTCAACTAATTTGTGTGTTTACAGTATATCCACTTACTGAGCCAGCTGTAACACTTGAACGCTAATGTTACATAGAGCAAGCAGAGAAGGGATTAAATGGTTGAGATGGATAGTTAATTATCAACTAACTGCGTTTAAACTATTTATCCAAAACTTTTAATAGTAATGCTTAAATGGTTGAAATTGTACACTTTACAATAAGGGACACAACATTTTGAGTATTTACAAATGACGAACGAATCAAGTCAAAGACAAGTAGTTCCCTAATAATTCCTAATGAGGACTATATCATAGATAATGAGAACAGACTAGTATATCCTATATTAATGAATCATTAGCTGATGATTAGTTCATAATAATCTGTGAAATAATCATACTGATCTTTCTTTATGAGTCATTCCTGATTAACTCTGAACCAGCCAGTGATTCTTTACTAATTACCTAAACATTAGTTGCTGTTTTTGTGCACCCCAGGTGAAGTGATACGTAGGCTGAGTAGTTAGGCCACTAAGTAGTCCCTTGTTACTTCATCCTTATCTTACAATTAATTACTGTATTTGTGGCCCCTAAGTCAAAGGCTGATGATTCTTCTGTTTGTTGCTTCTATAATTCTCACAACTATGTTTGCTTCAGTCAGCCAATCCTGACCAAAGTAAAATAACAGATACATGCATGAGTGACAAACAGACGCTGTGATACACGGAACATATGGGTGGACAGGAGGGAAGTTAGTTATGCTGCAGGAGAGATTGGACATTTTTCCTACTTGCCATACTCCATGAAGGAGCACACTATAAACTGGAGTATCCCTTCAATCATTTTCCCATTGCACCTTTGTTTCAGTCAGCACCAAGCTGTTTCTGATCTACTGCTTGTTTACTTCACCTCCTTATGTGACAGCTCAACAGAAACAGGCCTGGATCTGTTTGGTTTCTTGAACCTGTAAATAATTTACAGTATACAGGGGAGGAGGTGTAGGAGCTTGAACAGTCCTATAGGTGCTGTACCTGAGAGAGGGGAACTCGGAGAGACAGACAGACTTGAAGTGGATGTCTCCCTGCCTGTAGAACCGAGAACCGGTGTTCCTCAGCTCGATGGAGTCGATCTCACACAGAGCCACGGGGTAAGCCAACACCGTCCTGTACACTGTCATATCTGTCCGACTGCAACACACACGCATACACACACAGCGTGCATGTAAATAATGCTGTCATAACCACACAAGACCAGACAGAGAGAAACACTTTCAGATAATCAACATTCATCACGGGGGACAGTTATTGCTTTCTCTGTTTATTGCTTAGAATGAATAGAAGTACAACAGACTGACATCGCTACATCTCCTGCTCTCACTCTTTGAATCAACAAGGCGGAGCACAAACTCAAAATTCTCCTCAACTTTGTTTGTTTATTTATCCATTACTTTGCATAATACAAACATATAAAGCTAATACTGCAAGTACTGTAAGTACAATGTCAGCGACTTATTAATCTTGCAATAAAGTAAAAACAGTTGTCTGAACTCAAGTGAACCTGTGCACAGGCAGGTTTCCTGCCACAGTATCCTGCACCTGGGCTACAGTGAAACCTACAGTACCTCTCCTCCTAAAATAGAAGCTGTCCGCTCAGCCTTTCTGGGAGAGACAAAAAGAAATTACAGAACAAAGTTCTGGGATGAGGGCGCTGCATTGGAATCTGTCAACCAGTGCTGAATAAAGTCTGAAAGAATTCTGTCACACTGAATTTTTCTCTATTTAAACTTCTGGTTTGAGGTGAGTTTAGATAAAGCTAATTAATTAAAGTATTATTATTAGAGTAAACCTTACTTGGGCCTTTGTTCAGTAAGCAATTTTACACATAAAATGTGTGGCTGTTTTTGTTGATTCCCATGTCAATATAAAGAATAACATGACTTTATTTCATCAACAAGATAGAAAATCATCTTGTTGTCATTTACTTTCTAATCCTTTTTATGTTTCTAGTATTTACAATTCTGCTGGTAATGTGCGATCTGGCACGTTTGCAGAGAGAACCTTTTTATAATGCTGAGCTGTGGTACACTTCTGGAAAAGCGAAAATGGAGTAAAATGGTGACGTTAACAGATGTGGTACCCACAGCCTGAGCCTCTGCTCTTTCCCCAGGTTCTCTGTCCTCAGTGTCACCTCCACCTCAGCGCTCTTATCCAGGGGAGAAACCTCCAGCTCCAGCAGGATGTGATGAGCTGAGCAGAGGAACAGCAAACAAGTATTTAGTACTTATCAACATCTGCCTACTGTCTACCCTTTATTTGATTGATGCAACGAAAATAGAGCACATTGTGAAACATTAACAAATAATTACCTGTCTTGAAACCTCAACTGACAAAATACCAACATTTTAAAGAATGCAAAAATCGGTATTTGAATAATTTAACTATCAACATGCACAAATCATTTAGTAGTTTAAAGGACCAGTGTGTATGATTTAGAGGCATCTAGTGAGATTGCAACCAACCAAACTATGGTGGCCACGAAACCCAGTGTTTGTCCGCTCTGGGCAACTGTAAAACATGGCGGTTCAAACATGGTGGACTCCACAGAAGAGGCACTGCCCCCTCTCTAGATAAAAGCAGCTCATTCTAAAGTAATAAAAACACAATGATTCTTGTTTGCTGATAAACAGCTGATTACAGACTATTGAAAACATATTATATTATTATTATAATATTATATTCCATTTCTGCCAATAGATCCTCCTAAATGTTACACACTGGACCTTTAAGTTGAAGGACTCTCGCACAGGCTCTGATGAACGTGATGTAGAAAGTTTCTGTGGGAATATGAATATTATCACTAAAATAATCACAGTCTGAGTCTACCCAAAGCATTGCCTTTCATGGCAAAGTCTTCCGGTACATACACAGCAAAGAGAGGAACGTGAAAAACCAGAGGGCACCGTCATGAAAACCAAAAGATCTAACTCTAATACAGGACAAGTGAGTTACAGAGCAGATACATATGCTGCAGCAGATAAAAACATACAATTTATGACATCTCTGTAATCATCCAGACAACTTAAACAGCAGACCATTGAATATTAGTGTAAAACCACTGAGTCTGAGTTCAGCTGGTTGGTCCACCACTTTGGTTCGGAGTGAAATATCTCAACAAATATTGGATAGACTGCTTTATTATTTGGTAAAGACATTCATGGTCTCCAGAGGATGAATCCTAAGGACTACTGTCATCAACAGACTTTGCTTTTAGATTTTATTATCTGCAAATGTCATTAATGGCCCTGCACTGGGAAAAAGTTGTCTCTCACATCTGCTGCGGATTAAGAGACAACCTCTCTCACAAATGCAGTCAACCACACACACACACACACACACACACACACACACACACACACACACACACACACACACACACAAAGACTCACCGCAAAATGGTGGTGAAGATGAGGTGAGGAGGAACAACTTCTGCTCTTTGGGAATTGGAGATATGGCTATCCCACTGTTTTCTGATAAACCTGAAAACACACACACACACACACACACACACACACACACACACACACACACACACACACACACACACACACACACACACACACACACACACACACGTCACAAATCAAAAGGGCTCCATGTACATTAACTGTCACTGTATCAGCGTGTGTTGGCGTATCAGGGGTTGAAACGATAAGAGGCTGCCAAAGGCTGTTGTGTGACGAGAGCAGGGCTGCTGCATCGACTGGTGACTCTGAGACTGAACAGGGAGTGAAACAAGGTGCACAGATTACATTCTTGCTCTTTTACGGTTACTCATCCTGTCCGTCCCTCCCCATCGTAATGAAAACGTCCATTATTGCCACTGTACTCTCCTTGTTTCTGTCGCTGTGATTATGAAGGATATCGTGCTGTGATTCATTCATTGGATTGAAGCAGTTGTTGATATTCCTGTATATTATG